TTTGCTTTATCGGGATATCCTACATTTAAATATATAGCGTCGGGAATTTGCTTTATCGGGATATCCTACATTTGAATATACAGCATCGGGAATTTGCTCTGTCGGGATATTTTACAATTAAGCAAATGCAAGGAAGACCAAGAATGGAATCCAACAAATGGTTTCGACATTTTATCTCCAATTAGCCAATAGGGTCTTGGCTTCAGTTACAAAGTCTCTTAATCTAATCTCTAGCCTGTAGTTTTCATCCATAATCTCTGCCCTTTTCTTCTCATGAACCCTAACTTTTTCATCCATAATCTCTGCCCTTTTCTTCTCATGAACCCTAACTAACCCAATAGTATTATCAAACTCTTTCTCCAATTCCCTACATTTCTGCATCTTGCGTCTAAGTGTGTGAGAAAAGTTTGAGACTGTGAATTTCTGATCTATAATTTGAGCATCCACCATCCTCAGCTCTGCTTCAAGTTCTGCTTTTCTGGCATCCAAGCTTTGAAGTTTGCTTGCCTCAACTTTAAAATGATTATAGAAGAGACGAGCATCTTCACGCTTGTGGGCTAACTCATCCTGGATTGCCAGTCCTCGGCTTTCTCCAAAGAGAAGATGGGGGAGATGATCAAGATCGACTCTGATTGTAGTCACAGCATCTACAAAGTCAACAGCGAAGAGATCAATCTTGTCTTGAAAAGAATCCGACAAGATAAAGGATGGATGGCCAGAGCATATTTCCTGGAAAAGATTCCTCGCTTGGCGTTCTTTGTTAGAGTCAATGATCAACTTCCCATAACCAGGCTCTAATAGGTTTAAGAGCTGTTCCCATTTAGCTTTATCCACTTCTCTAGGAACTTCGGCAAACATTGACAAAGTTGAAGGCCCTGAGGAGTCAGCAGTCATTGAAGAACTGGGATGAGTACCTACCAATATTCTTTCCAACTCCTCCCGTTCTGCTAAAGAGAAAATTTCTATCTGAGCAGATGGATTGAGCACAGCAGAGGATGTTGAGGGAGGTAAAGCAGTGATAATCTGAGAAGTTGGTGGCACTTGCACACTCAAAGGTTCCTGAATCGTCGTTTCTTCAGGCGTTGGAATCTCTTGAGGTGCAGAAGCAGGTATGTCAGAAGCCGCAGCTGTAACATATGTATATCAGATAACTGAATAGAAATTTCGAGTCAAATACAGGGCAATGACATTTACCAGTAAAAGCTAGAGGAAGATTTTCTTCAAGTTCTATGACATTGGTAGAAGTATCATGCGTTGGTATACCCTCTTGGGAATCTGAAATAGGAGATTGATCTTGAATCAACTCAGCAGTAACTTCTATCAAAGAAGCAGGAATTAGTGGTGAAAGATTTGGGGCTGATATGATAAGAGCCTTGCTAGGAGAAGGAACAGACGAAGCAACACTGGATGGATTAGTCTTGGGAGTATCTGGATTAATCAAAGGATATACAGGTTAGTGCTAATATGCACATTGCTAGTCTCCATAAATAGAGCAAGAGAAGTACCTTTTGGTGGGCGCGGTTTCATCATAGCTCGAAGCCTGAGCTCTGAAGATTGATCAGATGTTGGAGGATTCTCTGGAGATTCTGAGGAACGAATAGTTACTTTTCTAAAGCAGCGTTTTGCTGGTGCTTTCTTTGGAACAATAGAGTCTGAAGTTTTTCTTTTCTTGTTCACTACGAGAGTATGATGTTAAATGGGAGGCTGAAAATCAAGCAAAACATATATTGAAAATCAGAATCAAATTACCTTTGGAGGGTTCTATTGACTTGGTTGGAGGCATATTCACAGCCTCAATTGCTTTTGATGCTACAGGAGGAACAACATCTCTTATTTTTGAAAGAATCAGGTCCAGAGGATCTGAAAACACAGTCTTTTGATAATCCTTCCACCAAAGGTCAAAATCGGCTGAAGAATAATCAGAGTAGCCAGTGAATTCGATGACACGGGACAATCGGTAGATACCCCGTATCAACGTGGTCAGCTCATTAAAAGGCTGATCATCCTTCAGCTTGCAAGTTAATTTATCAAAAGAAGCAACAGAGAAAGTGTAAAGGGCAGGAACATGAACTCCTTGAATTAACCCAAGTTGCCTGGCACAGTATTGGGGAAAATAGATTTCAAAGCCAGCAGCAAACCTGCCTTTTGTCGAAAATCTCACAGGGAGATCAACAGAAGTCAAGACAGATTGCCAAAAGTCACTTTTGTTCTTCTGAAAGGCAGGAAGGTAAGATTTGAATTGAGGGGTAAAGAAAGGAGAGAAAGAATGTGGATTCTCCTTAATGGAATAAATTTGAGAAATAAAGTACCGAAAACAAGAGGATGGTGCTTTAGGAACAGAGACCAGTTTCCTGTTCAAAGTTTGGCAGACTAGTTGGTCAGGAATAGAAACCGAGAGAGGTTGGATAACTTGATCCTCGGAAAACCAAGCAGGGAAATAGAAGGTTGCCCATGCTTGAAGAAGCCAAAGAGGACCACCAAAAACGTCACTAACTTCATCTGAAGCAGTGGAGGAAGAAGCATGGGCTAAACCCCGATAGAGTAAGGCCAACATTGTCTTGCCTAAAGAAAGTTGGGTCCCTGAAGCTAAAGCAGAAGCAACAGCAACAAAATCGTTCGAGACCCTAACTATAGGGTAGCAGAAAAGGAATTTACAGAGCCAGTAAAAAAGAAAAGCAGTGTGCTCTTCGTCGGTAATTGCATTTTCCTTTTTAAAGTAGTTTTTCATGAATGTCCCGTAGGCCATTTCAGAATCAGATAATTTGCCGAGCGGCGAATGAGAATCTGGAGACAGGGTAGATGGGTCTGTACCCAAAGGAGAGAGCCCAGTAAGGCAATGTACATCAAGCAAAGTTACCGACATAGGAGAAAAAGGGAAAAAGAAGCAGTTGGTCGAAGATGACCAAAAACAGGACAATGTGCCAATTAGTTCCCGATTCACATGGTAGTCGAAACAACTAAGACGCAAAGCATCGTAGATAGAAAGGGTATTCCAGAGAGACCCCTTAGAAGGAAGAAGACGAAGGTACCATAGATAGAACTCAGAATCAAAATCAGAGAAAGCCCTAAGGCGAGAAGGACGAGAATACCACTGGTACGCCAAAATAGATGACTCATGGATGGGAAGTACTTCAATCTGATGACGAGGGAAGCGGTTTGACAGGCATTGTGGAACGAAAAAGTGATTGTGAGCAGCAGGGCCAAGGATAGAAGAATCTTCAAAATCATTCTGTACAGAGAACAGATGAGATCCTTCTTTGAAATTATCAGAATCTCGGAATAGATAATATCGGTCGAGGGCATCTGATGCAGAAAAGGAGAAAGTTTGGTCCTTGGAAGCTTTGGAAGCCATGGATTTTAGTAGAGTGTCGGAAAAGATTGCAGAGATTCGAAAAGATGAAGATGAAGAAGAACGAAAAAGGAACGATTTTTATCGAAAGTGTTTTGGAGACGAAAGGGTAGGCGCGCGAAGCAAGGTGACGCAGCGACGTCAAGAATAGGTACTATTTCTTTGACATTTAAAAGAATTAAAAGTTTTAAAATGGGGCATTTGTTTACACCAAAATCGGCATGGATGTCAAGTCGGTTTAATGTCAAAATCCGACGGACAATGGAGCTCAGTTGTCTGCCAAAGTACGTTTGGATAAAATTCGGGAATGTAGTAAGCGTGAATGGCACCATGTCCCGAATTCTGTGATTGGAGAGAATCGGTAATTTTACCGAAACATGAAAAGTTTACATTTCGGGAAATGCTGAAGCTACCGAAAATCGGCAAGATCACAACCCAGCCACGTGAATCGTGACAACATGAAGTTATGAGCAAAAAGCGAAGATAGTGAGCACGAGCAGATCGTGGGAGATTATTTATCCAAATTGGAAGTCATCCCAGCGATTGAGATCAAGTTTTGGTGGACAATGAAATTGGAAAACATGGGTAGATAAGGCAGTTATTGAAAGCGCCAAGATTCAAAGTTCGAAAACAAAGAAATAACCGACAAGCAGTTACAGGATAGGAGGAGATATAAATACTCAGAAGAAAGAAGAAAAGAAGGATCAATAACAATGCAAAAACACTCAAGTTTATATGCACTTTAGTTTCCTCTGCACTTTTACTTCCTGCATTTACGGCTTCCTGTAGCTTTAGTTAACCTTCAAGTACTTTACAGCTTTCATAGGAGTATTGTAACGTAATTAGAAACTTTGTTGATCTCAGATCCATTTTCAATCCACTTAATTTCTACCCGCTTCCATATAACCCCGCATTACACTCTGTTTTTCGTCACGATTTTCCTAGAAATCAAGCCACAGAACCTACTTTAATAAAAACCGAAAATCGAAGTTTCGGTGAAGGATATTCCTCGTTGTAAAGCGAGCGAACAGATGCAAAGAGGGAACAAAGCTCGTGCAAATAACACAGCGCAAAGCAAAGCAAAGCAAGAGCAGCAGGGTCTCTCTGTGTTTGACTCGTCAAAAAACCTCAACGGGTCACACAGGGAGCGGGCAACACCCCCGCCTCATCTCGTGAGCCTCAGGGTCAAACGTCAAAGCAGAAACATTTTGTTTACTCCCGTGCGTTCCTGCGACTTCCTTTGCTCTCGCTTTTAGTTTTAGTATTACGTGGGGACTTTGACAGGTTCAGCGGCCATCATGCTGTTTCTTTTCTTACCGTCCCCGCTACTGTGACGGTTCGAGTCATTCATACCATCGCCCATCCCATTCAACGGTCAATGTTCAAAATCTTGCGATCCTGATTAAACCACCCCCGCCCGCCCGCCCCCCCCCCTCTTCAAGAAGAGCGCGTCCCTCCTCTCAGTCTGAACACGCTTTTCTTTGAATCCTTCCTCTTCTCTCTTCTGTTCAAGTCATCGACCGATTCTCCCGATCAATACCGCGCTGGTGTTTGTGTGTGAACTTTGAATACCGTGTGAAAATCGCAAGGGGAGAAAAAAGGAACCGGACATTTTTTTTCTATTCGACCGGAGATTTCTCGACTTATAAAGGCTCCGCGCGCGCCTCTTCTCTGTCCCTTCCCAAGTCGAACCCACGAATCAAAATCCGATCTTTAACGTCGCGGTCTCTGCAAAATCACTTCTTTCCCGTGTCGGTTCGTAGTTAAGGCGGGATATCGAAATGGGTTTTGGTTGGAGGAGGAGGAGATCGGCTGCGGGGAACAATGGGAGCAAGAAGCAAGAGGGTGGCATTGGTGATCGTCGGGAGCTGGAGCTGCAGGAGCTCGTGATCCCGAACCACTTCGTGTGCCCGATCTCGCTCGAGCTCATGAGAGACCCGGTCACGCTGTCGACCGGGATCACGTACGACCGCGAGAGCATCGAGCGGTGGCTCGAGGCCGGCAACTTCACGTGTCCCTTGACGAACAAGGTGCTCTCGAGCTTCGACCAGGTACCGAACCACGTGCTCCGCTGCATGATCCAGGACTGGTGCACCGAGAATTGCCGCCATGGGGTCAAGAGGATCCCCACCCCGCACGTCCCCGTTGCCCCGTTTGAGGTGTCCGAGGTTCTTTTAGGTATCGAAGGCGCGTCGCGGCATGTCGATCATGCCAAGTGCGCCGAATTGGTGGGGAAGATCGAGAAGTGGGGAGGCGAGAGCGAGCGGAACCGGCGCTGCATCGTCGCGAATGGGGCGGCTAGCACGTTCGCCAGGGCATTTGATGCATTCGCGGCCACATCTAATTATAGCCAAATCGGCGCAAATCTGTTGGAAGAAATATTAAGCGCATTGAGCTGGATGTTCCCACTTGATACTGAAGCTCATCACTACTTGGCATCACAATCATCTCTCCATTGTTTGGTTTGGTTCTTGAAGAACGGAGATACAGAAGCCAAGAAACATGCCATTTTAACCCTCAAAGAGCTTTCTCGCGATGAGAAACAAACAGAGGCATTGGCAGACACGGAAGGATTACACGAAACATTGGTCGAGTTCATCGAACACCCGATTAGCCCCACGATCACGAAAGCCTCTCTCTCAGTGACGTTCAACCTCATTTCTTCTTTCCCTTGTGGTGATGAGGAGAGATTGGTATTTGTCGAGATGTCTTTGGTCTCCAAGCTCTTGGAAATCCTCATCGACTCCAGTGACAAGAGCGTATGCGAGAAGGCTCTCAGTGTTCTTCACGGACTGATGGGGTGTGAACAAGGGAGAGAAAAGGCGTATGCGAATTTGCTGACAGTTCCGATCCTAGTGAAGAAGATCTTGCGTGTATCGGCGACGGCGACTGAGTTCGCGGTATTGTCTCTTTGGAGGCTTTGCAAGCACGAGAGTAGAGATCATCTAGAGAGGGCTTTGGTGGAGGCCCTTCAAGTTGGTGCATTTCAGAAGCTTTTGCTGGTGTTGCAACTGGGTTGCCCCGACGAAGCAAAGGAAAAGGCGACCGAGTTGCTGAAACTGATGAATCCATATCGAGCCGGATTGGAGTGCATCGAATCGGCGGATTTCAAGAACCTCAAGAGATCATTTTGAGCTTTGTAGGAGGAAATCATTTTTTGGATCATTTGTTGATTGCTATAATCTCTTTCTTTTTCGGTTTGTAGAGATTGATTATTACTTTGAAGAATAGCAGCATTAATTGTCATTAGTTTTCTTTTGGATGCCAAAGGCAGGTTTTGAAGTTTGGATCTATGTTTCCTTCTAACAAAACTTCCAAGGAAATTATACTGAGTCTTCCTATAAGTTATTTTAGTACGTCGATCACCGATCGCTCGAGCCCTTTTTTTTTTTTTTTTATTTTCGGTCGAAGCTCGAGCTTATTCATCTACGTAAATATTGGTATTTAATCCGAAATAGAAACGTACCAACATTACTGTGTGAAAGAGATCAGGAAAAGCATACTTCTTTTCACGCTTACCATCAATTGTATCACTCAAAGATTGATCTTGCCATCTTGCAAGAATGCTTTAATGAATTTGTTAGACATACTTGTATCATCCTACGTACATATACGCACGGATGAAAGCTATAATTAGAAAAACATTGCGTGCACTTCGGTCTCTTCGAAACAATATAGATATTCTCAGAGATGCTCTAATTTGATATAAGTAATTCAACCACTGTATAAATAAAATATATTAGAATCGTTGTAAGAAGAGGTAACCTAAAGAAGCTGCGACATGCATCAGAATGACCGGCACAAGTCGGCACAAGTCGGCAGAGTCAGAGATGCCAAAACCTTTCATTCCAAAGTGCAAAAGCATGCATCTTGACATTTTTTCCCTCTTGCGGATTGTATTGAAGACCATGGCAATATATTCAACAAAAGCAACAAAATTTTCTCGGTGACCGCCATGTCGTTTCGTTTTCTTGGAGCAACAAACGGGTTCAATGGGGGAGAAAGAGGTGGTACAATTTCCCTTGATCTGATCAGCACCATGTTCGGCCATGAAAGATGGGTCTTGAAGAGACTTGACCTTTGAATTGATTGCCGATTCGTTTGAAAAACCCCAACAGACGACACGATCTCAAGAAACTTTGAACAGCTATAATGCGTGTTGGCTGCAATCCACTCCGCACCCCAGGTTATTAGTTTGAAACCGCCTGTTGATACGTGCGCCGGTCGCAGGAAATTCAAGTCGCTCTTTGCAATAGACCAACCGTTTTTCCCCGAAAGCCAAGCCGGGTCATTTTGTAAGCCCCGCGTATTCACTCGCTCTTTAACGTGCGGATTTGAGAGCTTGGTCGAAGGGATTCCGGAAAAGTTGCGATTTATGCACCGAATTTTCTCATGATATGCGTAATCAACATTTCAAAAAATTCGGAGATATCACATGCTTAAGAAGTCCTCCTATGGAACCATATAGGGCCTTGCCTCCTTTTACTTCGGTTGTACTTGGTAAACCTTTCTAGATAGAAATTTGGTAATTTGTCTTCACTATTCTCATTTTCAAACCGATGTAGGAACATTCAAATTGTGAATGTTTGATACAAGTTTCAAGAGAGTCTGACGTTTCTAGATAGAAGAGGCAGTTGATAGAGGGGCATGGCATCACAAGATTGTTTAGGACTATTGTGTCGGATTTCTAGAAGTCGACGGACTGCCTACACACAGTTTTGTCCGGTTTGACAAGCTAAGTACCCCGCCGTCGATTGTCGGAAAGAGGATCACTACAGCGAGTCCAGAAACATAAAACAAGATCCGACATCGAGAAAATGGTTTAATCCTTATATAGCCCATCGTCATGCAAATGAGCCACAACAGTCGGAGACTATGTCCGATGGAGACTCCACTTTGCTCTTATTTGGTCAACTAAATAACCCTAAAAACATGTCAAGATTGCAGTTATATCATCTGGTTTCAAGTAGCGGAAACAAATCTGAGGATGAATCGTCACGGCTATCCTTTTCTTTCCTATTTTTGCTTTTCCGGTGGTTAGATGCTCTCCATTAGAACATGGAGGATCTCACCGTCAATATCTAAAACCTGAAGGAAGGAAGAAAGCTGACCAAAAACAAAGAAGTACATCTGGAGTCAAATTGCCCTTTTGATCTGATTACCAACCTGGTCCACTCCTACTTCCATTTTAATATGGAAGTGCTCTCTACTTGCTTCAATTCTATATACAACTGACGTTGTCATATTGGACCGCAACTACGGAGTCCCAGAAAGCAGGCCTAAGATGGGTCAACCGCCCAGTCAAGTCAACGCATTTCGAAAGGCTTACATGGCCCCCAAGCAAATTTCTATAGTAGGTGTTAGGAACAAGGATCATGGAATCGTCCACCATCCCACTCCGGTGACGTGAGGTTTGTAATACAAGAGGAGCTTTGTTTCGCATCACACGGGGTTGAACTCGTGATGATTCTCTCCACAAGGAAGTGAAGGTGTACATCTATTGAGCAACTCTGGGAACTCTGAAGAAACCTGAGAAACTGTGGAAAGCTAGTTATGAAGTTTGGATTGTTTCAAGCATCAAGCTCGAGGGTGATGTCGTCAAGCAGCTAGGACAAAAACTGAGAGGCTACCAAACAAGCCTGACTCCTACTTAAGACCCCAAATCAATTATAGTATTCTACTCCGCTTAAATCCGGTATCTGCAATATATCTCGACAAAAACAAGCAAGAAACAAATAAGCATCTTACATCCAAACAGCTATATGCATCGGTAAAGTATCTAGTCTAAGCTGGAGGAACGTAAGGTACATGAAAATCAAGTACGAAACTGAAAGTACACAGAGATGGAAAAAAAGGGTCAAAGCAAGAGGAGATTTTTAGAGGCAGTAGCTACTTCATCCAGAAGTAACTCAGTCAACCATCTGGAGGAACTAAAGAACACGGATGATATTACTGATCCTTGAACCTCTTCTCTATTTCCTCCAACTTCTGAATTTCTTTGTAGTATTTGCAAATGCGATAAATGCACCTGCATACACGTTCACATCAGTTTAGCATCTGCGTGCATCTTCAAATTATATGAAAGAAACTTCTTCGGTTTCCCAAGATAGCTGCATACCAATAAAGAAGGCAGGCTGAAACACATAGAATCACATTCCTTTGTGCTTTATAGATCTGTATGGCAGGCATAAGTGCACCCAAAAGTCAATTGGCGAAAGGTAAACGATAGGCGATGAACATCTTTCACGATGAGATCAAGGGAAATATAGACATGTAAAGTTCCTAATCTGGTTAAGAAAACTACCAGCATTTGAGCCCATCGTCATCCATAAAGATCTAGATAAGGCCAAAACAAACCCAGTGCATTAGAGCTTTGGCATGCCAATCATGGATAAACATCTCGAGCAACATCTTTTCTTGAGCTCCAAATCCATGAGTGCATTGGACCCATTAAGTCTACTCTTACCGCTAAAATACCCCAGCAATTATCAGAAGCTAGACAACAACAAAAAATAAGTGGAAGTTGCGTTCAATTTCCCCACATTTATGTCACATATTTTCACTTGATGTCTACCATCAGCCAAAGTAGCAGTGCCTTTTAAAAGCTGTGGAGTAGCAAGACGACTTTTATTTGACTAGGCAAATGTACACATGAGAAACAGAATAATTGCAAGAAAAAGCCACGACAGGAAGAAAGTGCCAATGATTAACTCACTACAGGCATGTACCCAGTGTCAGCCTACTCAAGTTTCTGAAACAAGGAGGAATGATCTTCTTTGGAAGGATTGGGAAGGTTATTGCAAAGGCACTTTTAAATCAAAGGTAGAATAAAACTAGGAAATCAAACACTGTCATCCACATAAAGTTGATTCACGAGCCAAAATCTCAGGAAGAGGACGGAAATGTCTGGCTGATCATTGTGAAGATTCAGCAGCTGCCATCTAGCAAATTCCAACAGCTCCCTCACAAGCTCGTAGCAAACTACAATTCAGACCTCTTTTTTACTTCAACTGAAAAAACAGACCCAGCCAAACTGAGGTGAATGACTTTGACTTGCCAGAGAAGGGAAGCTAGAAAAACAATCATGAGGAAATCCTTTCTCATAGAAACAGTAAGTGTACTAAGGTTAATGTTCAAAGCCGGTATCTAAGTAACGCGGCAGACAGTAAATGGACACATATAAAAGTGTACCACGATCAGCACCCAATAAAAATCTATCAAACAAATTAATATACCAATCGGGAACCGGTCTCAGTAAAGCTAGCATTACTCTTCTAGAAAAAGTCTATTGCATTAGAACTTTCATGAATGATCACCTAAGCATCTAAACTCATCCTACTCCTCACTGGCCAACCTTAACGTGAATTATTTAAGCTACCTGATAAATGAAGTAAAACAAAAACGAGAAAAATTGCTTTTCTGCCGCAAGAAAACTTCGGCTACTCTTTCTTCACGCCATCAAGTGACCATCTTGGATCAAATAGATCCCTTCTTTATCATCCAAATACCACCTCTGAATTCTGCTACCCAAAACTTAACACGGAAGTTCAGTAATTCCATTTCTAGGGCGTGATTCGACCTATAAATGCTTGCCATGTCGGCATTCATGTAAGCTGTCCGCACGAATCCTTCAGTTTTATACACGAATCACATGGTCATATTCATGTGCCATCTTTCCCAACGGAATTGTGCACATATACCATTATCCTTCAACGAATTACGGTTACTTCGCGTCATTCTCATCACAAGTCAAACTCGTTTCCTTCAGTTGGTCATCACGCGACTTCGATAGCAGAGCAAAAGCGTCGTGGCTGTTCCTATGAACTATCAACAATCCCACTCCTATGTACACCACAATGCTCCCACAAGGCTAATAAAACAGGGGGAGAAAAACCACCCCAGATCTCACACGAAAATCAATCTTCAGGAAAAAAAAAACCGTAAAGATCGAGGCGAAGACTAAAATTTACGCACCGCTTTCTCGAATCGGTCTCGCTCGGCCGCGGTGCAGATCTCCGACGTACACATCAGGCGGTGCTCGTTCTTCCAATATATGTCTGCACGGGAAACCAAACACACGCGCTCAGAAACAACCCCGCGCGGGGACAAAACCCCGCCGCCGCCCCGACGAGATCGGAGGAAACCGGTAGCGGAGCGATTCAAGATCGAATCGGAGCCCGCCTCGCGCGAGCGAAAGCACCGATCGGAGGGGGGAACGGGGAAACGGGGAAACGGGGAAACGGGGGGAACTGACCGAGGAGCTGGAATCCGGCGAAGGGGACGACGAAGAGGGCGGGCTGGAGGGCGAGGGAGACGAGGGAGACGAGGTGGTTCTTCAGGAGCTTCGGGGAAGGGAGGGTCAGGAGGAGGGCCAGCGCCGCCTCGGCCGCCACCACGTACGCCAGTATCATCCACTGCAACGCCATTTTCCCCCTCCCCTCTCTCTCTCTCTCTCTCTCTCTCTCTTCCTCGATCGCTGCTGCTGCTGCTTCTCCTTCTTCCTTCTTCTTCCTTCTTCTGCTTCGTCGCTTTCTGGGAATCTCGCGCGAGGTCCTTTCTCTGTTTCGTCAATTCGTTTCTTAATGACCAAGGTTTTTGCAATTTCTTTCTTTCTTTCTTTACAGCCAATTCCTTGCTTTTCTTCGCCTTTTTCCTACCTTCCTTTTCTGTATATATATATATATATAAAAAAAGCGTCTATAGAGCAGTGTTATTATTATTGCAAGTAGGAGATTTATTGCTATAAAAAAATGGGATAATACTCGTGTGTTTGCTTCGAGGGCCCTACGTGGAATTACAATTAAGCATATGCTTGTTTCGAGTAAAATATTTTCCGAAAACATATTTTCCTCATTTTTTCCGGCGTTCGGATCTCTTACAAAAATGAGTCGACTAAAATGTTTTCGAGCGTCCCTAGTGCTTCTGTCCAGATCCCTCGCGCCTTAGCCAAGGTCCCAAGTAAAATGTTTTCGGCCTCGGCCTCAACCAAAATGAGGCCGAGGCCTGGAAACCTAGTACCCGTGCCCATGCACAGGTCCCTGACATCCGGATTGGGGTTCATCAAGGCTGGACCTCCAGATCTTAGTGCCCATGTCTGATTTGCCGACTGCGCATGCACAAATCACTAAAACCCAAATAATGTATGTGTATCTAGGAAAATCTAATCAGATTTTCATTTTCAAATAACAAAAAATATTTTTAGGATCTTTTTTAGATTTTAGCCAAACGCTTTAAAATATTGCTATTTTCCTAGAAAATGACTTTTTGGTGAAAATTTTCCACAAATGTAATATTTTTAGTAAACCAAAACGGAGCCTAAATCCCTTTTTTTTTCCTTGCATTACTAAGTGAATCATATAGACAAGGTCATATCTATGGGAGTGCACTGGTCCAAAGTAGACCCTGAAACTAGACCGACCCTACTTCGCCACTTCAAGTCTGGTTCCAAGATCTATAGGATAGGTTTCGGGTTTCAAAAATTGGAAATTGATTTCAATAGGGTAGGTTCTAGATCTGAAACCTACTTACTTTGGAATCTGGAACTACTCACTCCTAACTTGCGCACCTTTCGTATTCGTCGAAAGTTTTTGCACTTTTGAGATGATGCTTATTTATCCTTCAATACTGAGAATTGTAATGTAATAGCTTCCCCAGCTAAATGGTGTGCTCTATAACTTCTAGCGGCGTCCAATCTATCTCCAATTCGATGAATGCCGGCACATTGAGGGACATGGATTGTTTTATCTCCACCCCCTCCAAAGAATTCATTTCTTTCAATCGTCGACGACTCTCAACACTCCACAATAACATAGCTAAATACGGCTTATGTTTTCATCTTTTATGGATTGTTGCTTTTGGCGGATAGGAATTTCTATTGTTGCTTCAACTTTCATTTTGCTGGATTAAGAGATGAATTGGACACTTCCCAATTGTTTCATATTTATGTTTGTTTTGTATCGTACATCTCGTCATTTTGTTGCTGTACTATTTTGTTGTAACTGCTAATTGTCATAATTATAAATAAAGATGCGGATAAAAAAGATAAAAAAAATAAAAATAAAGAGATGTCTAGGAATTGGCCACTTCCTTGGTGGACCATGGAACCGGACCGGACCAACGGAGTCGATTCCGAGTTAGATTCCATGGTCTACAAGGTAAGTTTCAAGTTTCAAGTTTGGAATTTACCCACTTTAGAACTGCTCATTCCTATTCATATCAGAGTTCAATACATTACCGTCTTTTGAAAAGTAGACGAGAAGGAAAAGGCAATGCATATTAAGATCCACATATGAAAGTCACATACTAAATAGTGTGACAATGATGTGCCTTTAAAGAAATTGGTCATATCTGACATTTGGTTAGAATTCGTCACTTGGTGCACAGGTTTTGCAAATTAGATCTCCTTGTATAGTTTTCTTAAAAACGGGATTGATTCAACTTAACTGATCGTAATTTTTTTGTCGGCATTCGCAATTTTTCCTTACCAATATTAGTTTAACCGTTACACATCGCTTCCTAGCTTTTCTTCACATAGTGCAATTTCTATTTCATAGATTTTGCGAGTGCTATGGTTTGAAAATTTTCGACTAAAAATAGTAATCTGCCTAAGTTTACAGTAAATTTCTTTCTCTATAGTTAGTAAATTACCTAATGGATGGTTGCTTTCGTTTGGCATATGTACTTTGTCCTCGCGATTACTAATTTACCCGTGAAATATCCTTTCGCAACTTGTTTTTTGGAGATCATAATTTTTTCTTTGGAGGTCATAAATTCTCTGGGTCATGTGGTGTTAATATTCTAATAATAGTGAGATATGCGCATTAGAAGTTCTAAAACTTGTCACAAAAGTGCAATTGAATCCTAAAATTTACAAAACGTGTAATCGAGTCCTAAAACTTATCAAATTAGTTCAATCGAGTCCTAAAGTTAACACCGTTTAATTCACTAACGAAAAATGCTGACGTGTCTTATTTTATTAATTTTCTTGAGACACGTGACTTCTAACAAGCGCCACGTTAGAAAAAGTCAAAAAATATAAATTAAATTAGAAAAATCTAAAAAAATTAAAAAAAAAGAGGAGCCACAACCAGCGGCCATGGCGATGGTCAAGTCCTTGCCGGGAAGGGCCGGTGGAGGTCGCCTAAGCCTTCTTGAAGCTTGATGACCCTCGCCGGCCCTAGGCGAGGCCTTAGCGAGGGCCTGCAAACCCCGATCTGGGGGAGGGCGCGACCCTCACCCTAGATTTGAGCGAGGGTCGCATCCTCCCCTAGATCGGGGCCGGCATGCCCTCGCCGGGGACTAGTGGGGCCCCGCCTAAGGTCGGCGAGGGTCGCCAGGCTTTGGGAAGGCCCATGCGACCTCCGCCGGCCCTTCCTGGCGGCTGTGGTAGTGGCCATTGGCGAGGGCTTGGCCACCGCCACAGCCATTGGTTGTGGTTTTTTTTTTATAGCTTTTTCTAATTTAATTTATATTTTTTTAACTTTTTCTAACATAGCGCTTGTTACACGTCACGTGTCTCAAGAAAATTAATAAAATAAGACACGTTAGCACCACGTTAGCATTTTCCGTTAGTAAATTAGACGGTATTAATTAACTTTAGGACTCAATTGAACCAATTTAATAAATTTTAGGACTCGATTGCACTTTTTACAAGTTTTAGGACTCAATTACACTTTTGTGACAAGTTTTAGGACTTCTAGTGCATATATCTCAATAATAATAGTAATCTATTTAAGTTAATAGTAAATTTCTTTTGTGTTATTAATAGTACAATATGATATCGATCGAGACCTTTCGTTACGCATTGTAAAGTTTTGCAACGCTATGTTTCAGCAATGTTCCTTACAACTCATCATAATATTTCTTAGTCAAATGCAAAGACCTCTCCAGTGAAAACACTTGTGACACCGCGGAGTTTCCCTGCATTTTCAAAAGATTGCCGAAGCACTTTCACGTCTGATCTCGACTGATATCTTCGTTCATCTCGACCAAAGACAAGGTGAAGGGAGTGTAATCGAGAAAGCTAGCATAGAATTCACATCAAGCAATGGTTCTTAATACTGCGACAAAAGAAGGAACAATGAGGTTCCATAGTGAGCAAGTGAAGGTCCCTGCTCGACTGCATCTGCAGCATAGAACGCACTGACCATCTACTTTGGTGCCGCTGTTGCTGTTCATCGCGCGCCGCTCACAAGGAACAGATTCTGACCATCACTGATCATGTTGACGTCGGTTACTTTGCCGCCATTTTCTGCCAAGATGCACGAGTCGGTTAAAACGTGGAGCTGCTGTTTGGCTGCCTCTATCAGCTCTTGCAAGGTTCGCGGAACCCATAGCATGATCCCTCGCCTTCCTCTCTCGTTGCTCGCGTCCCACGGGTGGGAAGGAAACACGGTGCATTTCCTTTTCTGCATCCTATCAGCTGCGGACAACAAAAAATTCTTGTAGTTTACAGAGATTGTTTTGAACTAAAGGGCCTTCTTCATATACTGAGCCACTCCAACTAAAAGAAAAAGATTCTATCAACATGTAATAAAGAACTAGAATGGCCTCTCCTAATAAAGAGAAGGACAATATAGATGATATCGCCATCCTGTGACCATCAAAAGCAGAAGATTGCGAAGAAACGGGTACTCGTCCAATCCTTTTTGGATTTGATCATAAACCCGTGTCCATTACAATATTTTCGTACTATGCTCACACTGTATCTTGTCATGTTATGATTTACTAGGAGATGAAGTCACCTTGAAGATGGCATGAATCTGCAAACTCCGAGATTTGAATAGTCCACGCATCTTCGAGCAGGTTGATGAGATTCTTGTTTCCACTTAAACGGCCTTCATCAAGTGGAGTACTTCCCCATCTACAAGAATGAAGAAATTGCTGACTTATGGCGAGATATGACAGCATCTGGGAAGATAAAATCCCCTAACTGGAAGCTAATTGCTTTTGAATAAATTGCATTTGGTTTTGGACCTGTCCTTAGGTAAAACGCTTGCTCCTGCTTCTAGAAGTAAATGCACGACCGAGTACAATCCTTCAGAAGCAGCCACATGAAGCGGCGTTCGGGAGTCGTAATTTTTCACGTTTGGGTTGATTCCATTAGCCAAAATCCTCTTCAAGAGATCTGTGTCCCTTCTTGCGACGGTGGTACAGAGGAAACCACCAGCATCATCTATTATCAGCGAAGCACCTGCTTTGACAAGTAAAGAAACAACCTGATCGTGGCCATGCTTGATAGCTTCCAGCAGTGGGGTATTTCCAGATTCATCTGATTAGACATCAACCAAATGCAATGATTTACTAATCGTGTGTGAAGGACACTATTGATATGAAAAACAGTCGCAATACATAATACAGATATAAGCTGTTATAGTGAGCTAAGTGGTTAACCTGGACTGTCGATGCATACATGCTGTTCGAGTAGGAAAATAACGATTTCCTCGTGTCCCCTTGAAGCAGCAACATGCTGTTAGTAGAAAACAAAAGTTCAGGTGGTGTGCTAAGAAAATCCTTTGTTTCACGGAGCTGGCTTCTTTAGTTCTCTCCATATTCTCTTCTAGGAATGCCAAAAGTTTTGTTCCCCTAAGCACTTGCATAATCATGATTTAAAGGAAAGAGGCCATGATGAAGCTTAATACTTGTAATAATTGGATTTTTCAGCCACCCTCATACAGATTATAGATGCCGAGAATGATCAAGCAATTGTGAGATCATACCAAAGGAGACTTCCCACTGTAATCCGTCAAGCTGGGATTCGCTCCAGCAGCTACCAGATGCTTCAAGCGATATAGATCTCCATCATGGGCAGCACAGTTCAGCCTTGTCGCCAGCTCTGACTCGTGCTGCATGATATAAAGTGTGATATCCGATTCCAACAGCTGCTTGCAGAGGTTCGAGTCTTTTCCCTGTCAATTTCATAGACGCTGCAATTGAGTAAATGTGGTTTTTTTTGCCAGATAAACTATAGGAACTCTGACTGGTGAAAGAGTCGCCAGGAATGGAAGAAGCAAAACAAATAGGTAAAGCATCGGCACATGAATCACCTCAAGAAGGTTGTTCAAGATAATGCGTCCATCAGAAAAATATATCTCGAGGATCTCGGTAAAGGATTGTTTGCTGAGGCGTAAGAGCTTGCATAGTTCACATGCCCTAACAGTGTAAGGCAAAGTGGTGTTACAGAGTAGGGGGATTTCTCCTAGCGTGCTATAACTTGGCAAGTTCATGGGGAACCTTTCCTCTTTATCGTCTTCTTTTCTAACTCCTTCCTGTCGACAAAATCAATCAAGCCAAGCCAATTAATCCAATTTGAATATTATAACAAATGGTTTTCGCTTTTTTCGGAAGTTACATAGCAAGATGCTAAACTTTAACTTGATGTCCATACAATCACAAAATCCAAGTACCAATTGTATCATGACGCTAAAAGTTCCTTCTTTCTGTGATCACATACAAAGACAGTTCAACCAAGTCCCAGTTTCAAACAGCGAGGATCTAGACATGATCTCAATGATGCCCCGAACACGCATTCTGGTGGTATCAATATTTCGACTTTGCTCAGTTGCCATACATATAGGCAAATAATAAGCCTGAATTCCAACTGCGAGAAATTATTCGCAGTGCAAGTCAATTGAGGCTTGGTTCACTTGAAATGGTGTTATTCAAAGCTCATTTCCATTCAAGAAAGTATAAACTTTGCAAGACTAAGCCAATTTTACAAAAGTGTAAGATCCAGGAACTGTCAACATATTTCGATAGCTGAGTTGGTTAAAGGGAAACACAGACAGTTTTTTATGGAGATTGACCGGAACGAAGTAGATAACGTAGATTCACTGGTAGAGGAAGTCATACCAGATAACCATGACAGATGATGTATAGCTGGTCAACCCCAGTTTCCTGTTCTATGATCACTTCTCTCGGGAGGAAAAATTCCTCATGCACTCTCATTGCCTGATGAACAAGAGTCACAGAAGAGGCTTAATTGACCATTTTTTCTTCCTATTATAGTATTATTTCTACTGTTTATTAAGTAGGCTGTAAGCAGAAGACAGCAGACAGTTAGTACTGTCTGATTGCTTATTAACGTAATTGAGTACATTTAACAAATTGCCTTACTATCTGCTTGATGAATCCTGGAGAACAGCCCTTGAAAAGAGAGACTTTAGTAATGTCTGGCTCATACAACTTTTGCTGGATCTACAGCATTGAAAGGATTAGTCATCAAACATATGTTCCACTGACTTACAGCAGAAAGCAAAGAATATTATGCAAATGATACATGACACATATCAAATACTATATGGTTGATCACCACAAAACATCAAACACAACGATTTGGTCTCTCATGAATTGTAGTTGTGTAAAAAGACGATGTGACTACAGTACAGAAAGCACTGGTTGATTCTTTTCATGAAAGGTCTGATAAAAATAATAGACACTGAATAAAACATGCTTCAGAGACGAGTTATTTCTGGCGCATACTAATTGAAAGTTTGAACAAATGGAACTTATTTCTATCCGTAGGCTTACAAGTCGCACATACTAATTGACATGAGACTGAGATTTTAGCCAGAAAATGCAGTTCTACATTTTCCCTGCTTGCCTGTTGGTTTAGCCAAATCAACCTTAAAGTAAAGGTTGACTCTGACTCTCCAGTTCTTTCATCTCAAGAGATGAACAAGATTGACTCCAAAGAAGCATCTCAATATGATTTTGTGAGTGTTGAATGATACATATATCGAATACCAATCTAGTTAAGGCAAGAAATAGGCACACTATATAGACTGATAATTAGGTTACCAATGAACCACTTTAGAAACTTATCCTAAGTTTGGCTATTAATCTTTTAAGTGAGGGCATATAGCTATCTTCTATCCTAAAAAATAGCAAGGAGGCAAAAAGATTGGTTATACAGTCTTCGTTTTGCTTGTCCTCCAACTCACACTTAAGGTAAAATTGCTCTTTGCTGCAACTTCAAACTTGCTGCTAAATTTTTAATTATTAAAAACAAGTATATTTGAGATTGTATGTTGGGGAAACAGTGAAAAACAAATGTATAACCGCATCAACATGACTCATATCAAATTGCCAAAACATGAGATTGAGCGAAATGGTGTTAATCTTCCAATACAATATGGAATGCTTTGACTTGTGGCAGTGTTTTCTAGAAATAATATAGAGAGATGCATCGAGATATGGTCATACCTTTGTGCGGATAGAGTTTGGTATATCCTGAAGAACAGTAGCCTCAGTGTACGTGTGACTATACTGTAGTTGCAAATGGTTCTTGACCTCATCACTAATTTGCTTTCCAAGATTATTCTTAGTCATGTATCTGATAAGTTCGGTCATTTTATCCCTAAACCTTTCCGTCTTTGATCCTTTTACTATCAAGGCCGTCATGTTACCAAGCAAGTAAGCACCAAGGATCATGTCGAAAGATACATAAACCATTATGAATATCATCTCTCTGACATTTACTGCATGTATCTCTCCATAGCCTGAAAAACAGAACCTGGATCAGTCCATAAATGAAAATTCTCACTTTGATTCGAAGTCATTGATTTGTCTTTTTTCTTCTTTTGAAATGGCATTGCCATCTGAATCAGTTAGCTGAGAATCACAATTTAGAGCTTGCGCACGCGCCAAACTTATTGAGAAGTTACCTATTCACGAAAATCATGAAACCGGTTCATCTAGAGATTAGCATTGTCAAGGTGATAATGCACCTTGTATTTTAAACCAGTAACCCTTGTCAAACAACAAATCATGTCGCACTGCCAAAAAAACATTAGGAAAGATCTTTACCCACTGTCGCCATTGTGACAATGGCAAAATAGAGAGATGTGACGTAGCGCTTCCAAAGATCAATATCTCTGAAGTGCGAATAGCTATAGTCACCCATCTTCAAGCTCCCGATCCACGTGTATGCTTCCTTGGAAGGAGGCAAAGTGGTAGCAAGATAGTAAAAGATGCAAGCAGCCGTATGCGTGCAGTAGAGCTCGACGACGAGAAGTTTCACTATCCTAGTGAAGAGATAATTGATCCGAATGTCCTTCTCCATCTTCTCGAAAAACTCCGTCACTCTGAGCGCCCGACTTAGCCTAATCCACAACATGTACCTGACTGGCTCCTTCCTCCCACAGACCTGATCAAAGAAAAGGAAACTCAACAACAGCACGGCAGCGGAACCATTCACCATTCTCCCTAGCGAACAAAATCTGTATTCTTTTTTACAAATCTCGCTCCGGGGCTACACGTAAGAAACTATCGACTATTTGAAGCTCCTCGTAAAAGCATCCACCGATTCAAAGGTTTTGCTCTCTCCTCTAAAACCAATTAAATACCGCTGTGACTCAACTTCAGTGGCATATTTCTCTCCAAATCACCATTTTGGTGTACCATTGCACCATCAGATAGGCAGAAATAATCAAGAAGTAGCGTTGGACGAGCATGGCGATGGCAGCAAGAACAAGGGCAACAGAATCTATACCTTATAAAGAGCATCCCAGGGGAGACAACCCAGAAGATCCACGCTGAATCGAGACTTCAAGTACCTAATCAAACAACACGCAGCAAGCACAACATGAATTGCCAGACACGACAAGAATCAAGACCACCCCCACTAATCTATGTTCAAGAAACGCAAGAACCCTGCAAAATTCAAAGAGCATAAAGCGAACAAAGACACAGCCGAGCCAAGCCAAGCCAAGCCAACCTTAGGGCGATCTGGGAACGGTCGAAGACCATGTTGTGGGAATGGGAGTCCTTGTAGGCGACGAAGAAGCGGATCACGATGTCGACCAGGAAAGCGAACTGCCCGGCGATGTCGAGGAGGAAGAGGTTCTCCGGCAACCCCCTGAAGAACCCAAACTCGAGCGGGGTGAAGAAGGAGGAGTACACCGCCCATATCAAGATGAAGTGCGTCCATAGCACGTACCGCCTGCATCATTTCCGCACAATGTCACCGCCCTTTTCATCATTATCCCCGTCGTGCTTGCTGCGAGAGAGAGAGAATGGTGCGTGCGTGTGCGTGCATGGCTGCTCTGTTTTTGGCGCCAAATTATTATTCTTCAGGGGGGCCAAAATCTTGAAAATTTTCAGCTCATGAATCGAAAATCATTAAAATAATTGAAATATTTTTCGCAATTAGAAATATCTCCATGGTCAATATTCAGGTATAAATTCCGCATTTCCCTTCTACGAATCTATAAATTACCGCTATTCAATTAATTTTTCAATTGACCCCCCGCAAAAAAATTAATTTCCCACATTTGCAAAAATATACGATTGTTTTGGCAAATTTGTGTTTTTCTTCGACCAAAAAAAAAAATTAAAGTTTGTCAAAATCATGATTTCTTTTTTTATTTTGCAAATAACTGCCATCTTGCATGTACATTTAATCACTCGAGAATTATTGCGTAAAAAAGTTCCTCTCCGTCACGTGCATTGTCACGTGCATGGCCGCATAGGAAAAGCTACTTTCAATGTCCGCCCGTGAAAAATCACGAAATAATTTACGAAAAACTTATTTCATGATTTATACGATTAGTTCAAGGTAAAGAGAAGATCCTGTACGTGTGTGTCGGCAAAAAGAAGGAAAATAAAACGAAAAGAAATATTTATTCGATGCCCTAGTTATATCGAAAAGATCAAGTTTTGGAAAATTATCTCCCACTAAGAATATGATACACACGCGACGAAGCGTTCCAAAAATCCTTTTTTTCCCGTGCTCATACCATCGATTGCGAATCGAACATGACACATAATCTACTCGTTCCGCCTCCTATTCTTTCTAGGAGTCGAGTGCCGTCCTACGGTACCGTGGCAACCGCGATCCCCAAAACGCGGTCGTGATAACCATGTATAGCTATGCGCCAAAAACCCATTTTATTACGACATAAGTAAATCACACACCACAAAAAAAAAAACCACATACGTAGATATCGTGTTACGGCGGAGGTCGTGCTTCTCGAGACGGAGAGTCGCCACACTTACCAGTTATTGGGCAGAATGACAAACTCTGGCGGTGGAGAAGAAGAAGTAGAGGCGTCCCATCTCGCGAGCGAGCCTCTCCACGAACACTCGCTCCTCAGCATGAGCCCGAAGGTCGACCTCCATGACGGCTTGGGGGATTCCGATCCCATATCGACCTCGTACTCTTCGTCTTCCTCCTCCTCCGCCGCCGACCCCCGTCTCCCTCCTCTCCTCCTCCCGCCGCCGCCTCCTTCGAGCATCGTCGACGACGACCGAGAGCTCGAGGCACCTCCTCGTTCGGGGTGCAGAAGAATGAGCGAGTTACTGGTGGGAGAGAGAGAGAGAGAGAGGATGAGCAGGCAAAGATGTTATCCTTCATGTGAGTGCACGATTTAATGGGGTCGCACTCGTACGATGTGTAAAGCGCTACGCTTCACAAGCTAGTGAGACATAAAGACAGAGAATACTAATACTAATGGTGACAGGCTGACAGCTTTTGCGATTCGCTTTCACTTTCTTTTTGCACAACGCCCACGAAGTGATATTGGGTGCGCATATCGGAATTTGGTCATCGGCACAGTAGGTTCATGCAGACAGGGAGAATCGCGTGGACTATGCGCGCAATTCGATTCATTTACGCGCGCGCGCACCCCGTCTTATCGACCGCGTAGCGTGCGTCGTTCAGTGCTGGAGATGTGAGAAATGTCGAGCGAAGTCTCGTCATGCATCTCAGTAAAGAATCGCCAAAAGTTCGTCCAAATCTTATCTTACCTGCGCTGGATATATGCTCCCGGTCCCAAGAAGGATAGATTCTCTCTTTTCACGCGCAGAAAACTCTCGGGGATGAAAATACACCGGATCGAGAGCCGAGAGACCCGAGTGGCGAGACCGAATGGACAATGCTTTAGACCTTTTGAGGCCGGATTAAATTCGAGCAGGCGGTTCTTTTCCATGAGCATGCGCCGTCGAGGCATATCTTACTTTGGAATGTTTACTAGATCGAATCTAGCCCGAAACCTTAGCTGGCTAGGCTCGACGCGCATCTGTGCATACACGAGTCGGTCGGCCGCAACATTGTCGGCCCACGAGGCGCAAGCAAGCCATCTTTCCCCGATAAGTCCACAAGGCGACGCGAACCATTAATCTTCGAGCTTCGAGAATCGATGTAGATGATAAGATAACGCTGGCCCTTCTTCTTCAATGGGGACACTCTCGCCTTCTGCCGTCCTCTTTTCGTTTTTTGTTGGTTATGTTAGGATCAGGGATTTTGACAATGTCAGGCTCTTCCTAGAGCTTCAGTTTTGCTTCCGATGGAGAAGTTCCACAAGCGGGCCCGGCCCAATGGGCCACGTAGGTTGTCCAAGCCCATTAAGAAGATCCTGGGCCTATTCAGCCCATTTGGATGATTGCATGAGGCTGCTAGGAATGCCGAGCAATTAAGCAATCTCAGCTAATTTGGCGATTGGAATTTGAAAGCCTATCACATCTTTCTCTGTTTAGCTATTGTTCGCTCGTATCTTCGTAGGTCGACGTCGGAGGTAATCAACGAGCGGACAGCCCCCATCGACCAGAAATCATGGCTTTGCCCGACTTAGGCTCAAAGCTCGGGCCGAACATTCTTACGTTACTCTTACGTTGTGGTGGGGCGGGGGGAAGGCTTGGGTAGCACAATAGATTAAGCAACTTGCATTCATGGCACTAGCTTCTCAAAGAGAAGAGGAGTGTTTAGTCTAAGGTTTGGACAACTAATCTAATATAATTCTGCTGATTACTTTTTTGACAACACGAGGCACTCGAATCGTAGGGCTCGATTAATCCCACGGATACGCGCAAACCGCCGCATCCGCATGCATCGAGTAAAGTTCCATCCACAGGGCCGTGATTCGAGCGTCGCCCCTCCAAGATTAATGCGAATGCGCGATGCCGTGATAAACCGGAACGCATAACCTACTAAAAGTTCAAACTAAACTTCCTAAAGCACTCAACGGACTTCAGGAGTCAACCGAGCTCATCGCGTTTTTTTGTCATCATAAGGTCTTTCCGACGTCATCCATGACGAGTGAAAATTTGTCATACATGATGTCTTTCAATCAATCTAATGTTCCAACTTAAAGAGGAGTTGAGAGGTCACACTAGTTTACCAAGACTAGAGATTTATTATACTCACCTTACTTACATCGCGTCATACGTCATGAAAAGTGCATTGAAGGAACTCCATCTGCATCGGTAGGTGAAATTGTCTGATTGGATATAAATTTATTATATGATTTTCAATTCAATCCTAAATTTTTTCGCGCGAAATTCCAATATAGGCCTCCCGGCCATTTTTCGTCGAAAACTTTTGGCGTCGAGGTGTGCCGCATAGGATGGCTAGCGATTTTCGACAAAAACTGACTGGAAAGACTACATTCGGATTTCGCGTAAAGGTTTAGGATTAAATCGATAAAATTAGAAAGTTTATGACTGAATTGGTATTCGTACAGTAAGTTTATGATTGATTGCGTAATTTGCGCAGCATACGAGAAAAAAAAAGATCACAGGGGAATTTCAACCTTAATGCCTATTGCCTACGTGCATTTGTTCCTTTAAGAAGATTTTTACCCACTCATCCATATTAACATGGTAGGCAAACGAAAAGTTATAATCATTTCGAATTTAAAGCCTCCCTTCTTTAAATTGCCCTTGGCAATTTCTAGCGACAAACTCTTAATTTTCTTTTTGTCTGTCCTATATCTAACTCTCCCCGTTCTCTAACTTTTATTCTTTCTCTTACGGAGCGTGAGAGTCGAACCCACGACTGTTATGCTAGCATCCTCACCCCCCCCAATCCCTTTACCTGCAATATCGCATGTCTATTGGCTTAATTTATTTTTTGTTGGCCAGCCTAGAATTGGCATGAGAACCGCCGTCAAGTGGATGATGATCGTGGCCCTACGCCATTAAATATTGATGGGCTTCAATAATGTTTATCCGATTATTTAAGTCGTGCAATGACATGGACCTTAGGAGAATTACACCCCTAAAGCTAGCCATTAACGTGGGAGAGCCCCAGGGTACTAGAAGTCGCACATCGAAGTGTCGTACCACTGATCTGGGATTCAAGTCCCACGATTTGTAATTCAAGAAAATGGTACAAACGGTTCAAAAATTTTGGCTTGATGTACAATGTCATCATTGAACCTTTAATTCGTTTGATTTGGTCCTTGAATCATTTCTAAATATTCTAAATATTCAGTTTAGCCTGTAAACTTTCAATTTGTTCAATCCTGTCCCTCAGCTTTCCATAAAAAGTCAAAAGTTTTCATAATTACTCTCTTGCCCGGATTTTAAAATATCTTTTCATTTCAATCCATTTCATAATTTAACCGAAAAAATATGGCTATCTTTTTAATACATTTTTGGTCTTTATAAATATTTCGATAGTTGAGGGACTAAATTGAACAAATTGAACGTGTAGGGATTAGAATAACATGTAGGAATAGTATAATGACCCAATTGAACGAATTAAAAATCCAAGAATGATATTATATATTAGACCAAAATTTATGGACAACTAGTGTCACTTTCATTTGTAATAAAGATCATAACATGCAACTTGTACTAAAGGTCCACATGAGAGTGAACTAAACCCACCAACATCTTTACCTACTAGTCATCAAATCGATGGAGAAAAATTAGCAGCAATCAAAACCAGATGAATGCCTCAATGGTCATACCGCCCTTGGCTTCGGTGTCATAATCGACCTAGCAAGTCGAAACACAATTGACACTCACATAATTGTCATATGGTCAATTAATTGAAAAATGAAGATATATGTAGGCCGGTAGTGATGGACCCCTTTTCATCAGGCCGGTCCAATAATCACCTCTATCGACTATTGCGTGATGTATTCATTGCACTGGCTTCTAAAAGAGAAGAAGAGTATTTTACTTGCAAATAAGTTGTAGAGCCGACCTGAAATAATCAGCTGATTACTCTCTTTTTATAACGCGAGGTTTTCGAATCCCGTGGCTCGACCAATCCCCAATAGAGACACGCGAACCGCCGTGTCCACGTGCATCCGAACGTGCATTGGCCGAGTTTCTATCCACAGCTCGGCGAGCGTGGCCTCCAAGGATAATACGAGGGGGCGACATTATGATGGGAACACAAGAAAGATGTATCAAATTCCGAACAAGCTTTTTGAGTCGATGGGCTAAATCGCACTCTGGTGACTTTGGCGAGTGTGTGATCCACGCAAATGGGGATGTTTCCCGACAGCTTCTAAGCCTAACCCCAATGTGAAAACAGACAAAGTCCTATTAAAAAACAGAGAAGTTAAATCGTAGGTGGGCGAGGGGATGACGAGTCAGGCCCCACGTCTCCCGTCCAATCGACAATCCTTTCTCCAATCCAATCGAATTCAATGTTCCCACAAATGCATGAACGCAATCGTTTGCGGGGTGTGATTGATTACTTTTGGTAAATGGTAAAGTGGGGAGGATGCACATCCCTGTTAGGCTTTCCGAGGTACGATCACTTAATATAACGTTCTATTTTATCTGATACGGGATTTGGATGATCAATTGACGGTAACTATTTCCTTTAGGCGTTATTACAAGAACTCACGAGTGTCACGTCATGCAATGTTCGATTTGTCCTGTCGCCGAGCGAGCCGTGCCCACAATCTTATCGGCGATGAGATCGTCCCATGTAATATCACGGTGAAAATTGAACCGGCGATGAGATCGTTATAACTTTTAATGGACTCGCAGAGAGGGACAACCGATCCGCTTCCCTTTCGGCAGTAAGGTTGTAAGGCTGTCTAACTAAAATAATTTCACAGCAAGAACGAATCGATAGCAAGATTGGTTAATTTCTCGGCTAACGTGGCTTGCCTGCGTGCCCAGTCAGCATATAGAGCCCTAAACGACGTCGTCTACAACGTTTGCCCCAAAATATAAATCCTAAATTGCAAATTGAAAGAAATTCTCCAATTTCGAAACCCTAACCCTAATCCAGTTTGTCCCCAACTACTTCAAGCTCTCGCACACAACCAAAATGGGGAGATGAAGGAAGAAAACAAAACTTTCCTCTCGTGGAACCAAGGATGAGAAGCTTGGAGAACACTAATCGACGCGAATCGACCATCTCCGATCACCAGCATCTATTGTCGTTTGCTTTCCATTTCTCATTCCGTAGAGAACGGTGCAGACCAAAGACGCATGAATTCGTGATAGTTCCTTTTTGAGAAGCGATTTCATCCAACATGATTTGCAATTCCAGAGAGCCGGAGCCAGTTCCACTAATTGTCACGATCATTGACGGCCGTCCTAACATCGCATTCCGATTTTCCTGTTCTACTATGCTCCGCAGTGGTGAGATCCAAAAAAATCAAATCCAATTCGAAGTCCTTCGCTCGAATTGCGATTTCCGAAATCTCTCGGCCTTTTTTTTCGAAGACAGTGACTCCTCCTGCTCGACACTCGTATTCGATCGCTGAAGCTCAGTCCTCTTACTTTCTTTGGTTTCAATTTTGGTATTTTCCTAATTTCCACGGGCCTCCTCATCGACTTTCTTTCCCATCTCCGTCTGGACGTTGTTCACCTTATCGTCGCCAAGAACCGCTTCCGCAGACCGCAACATCATAATAGAAAAAGCTTGAATCATTAATGGATACTAGATCATGGTCGGTTTTCATGATGGCAGTAGCTGAAATTTGCAGACTTTGTTTTGTTCGTAATCAACATTAATTAATGAGGAGAAATCCTAATCACCATTAGCCGTCAAACCGACAAGAAGAGGTCCAGGAATTCTTTGTCATTTGAATGTGGACACAAGCGATGAAGTTTCAGTCGAGATTTAACCACTTCGACGCTCTTCAGCCACAGAACAAGGTGAAACAGAGGAAGTGAGTGACAGCGACGAAACCTAAAGTCAGTACATTTATGATAAATTCACCTCAAACTAATTTATAATTATCAAAAGCCCCAAAACGGTATACATATGACAAAATACCCTAAGCTAATTTTTGGGCCACTAAAATTTGACGAAAATTAATGGAGGGCAAATATGTTACGCGTGTACAAGTCTGGGGGTTTCGATAATTCAAAAATCAGTTCGGAATAAAATTTGTCACCGACGTACCGATTCGAAGTTTTTTCGTCGTCCCAAAATTAATTCGCGATAAATTTATTCGTAAGCGTATCGATTTAGGATTTTTCGTGATATTAGCTCTTTCAGCGTGTGGCGGGCAACCCAAAACCGACGTCACGCGTGACGTGCGGCGCGAAACCGACATCACACATGGCGAAGGCGTCCTCGCTTGCGGCAGCGACGCAGCCCTTTGTCCGTTTCCCCGCTTTCATCGGAAACCCCAAAGACGAGTCGAGACGAGAGAGGGGGCCAAGGACTCTTTTCCCTTGCTTTACAAAAAAGCTCGAATCGTAAAAACCCCAAAAGACGCTCTCTCTCTCTCTCTCTCTCTCTCTCTCTCTAATCACGAACCAAGATCGATGACGTCACCGTGCACGTCACGTGGGGCCGGGCTAACGGAGCCCTGCTGGCGTCACCAGGGACAAAGGGGACCATGAATCTAGCCTCGTCGTACGAGGAAAAAGCATTGCACGCTATTTTTTTTTTTTTCACCTATTTAATCCAACGCGGGAGGGGGGGAGGCGCGTGAAAAAGTGATTACTATTTCGGAATTTCGAGCCCTCGGCTCGTTTAATTCCACGTGGCAAATTCTGGTGACGAGCTCTTAAAAAGTTTTCGTGTCTTTTTTCTTTTTTTTTGTTGGGGATAAAAGACGGAGCTCGTAAAGTTTTGGTCGGCATGGAATTGGCACTAATAAACCGCCCCTCCCCCCACATCAAGTGGATGAGATCATGGCCCACGCCATTAATTACTAATGGGGGTTCAATAATTGCTTATCCCGTTATTTGTTTCGTAACGCCAAAGGGTTATCCGATTAGTCGAGCCATGTATCGATGTGGACTCTAGGGGAACAACGTCCCGAAAGTTAGCTATCGGAGCGAGAGAGAGAGAGAGAGCTCACGTCACTATAATTCACGCGCCCGAGGGCTCGTGCCGTCGGTATGGGATGCAAGTCCGACATCTTATAATTAGGATCATAACCGATAACATCCAATGTGCACTAAAGGTCCACATGCCGAGTGAACTAAAACCCCACCAACAACGGAACGAAGGGAAATCTCGTGACGTGCTCGTCATTGAATAGATCGGGAATAATTAGCAGCTATTGAAACTAGATGAATATGCTTCGATGGCTGCGAAACCCTTGGTTCCGGCCTTAAAATCAACATAGCGAGCCGAATCACACTTGGCACTTACATTAATCGTCATTTCCTTAATTAAAATAAAAAATAAAAAAAGAACATGTGGAGCCTATTTTTATGAAATGCTTTTGGATTAGTCGATAAATCTATTCTTGATCATACCTATTTTCATTTCTTGTATTCCGGAGAGATAGAGCCGGCCCAGAGCAAATCGCGCCGGATCGATTATGTTCGAATATGTGGCCTCTAGTTTCCAAATCGAAAGTTTCCTAACGCCGTAACCGTAATCAAATTGTTTGCGACCCTCGGGTTTCCTAATCGCGCCGATTAAATTATAATTCGTTCATCTTTTCTCCGTTGATCCGGCTGCTAATCTTCTCAATGATTGGGGGGGCGAGGGATTTATTTAATGACGGTTGGTGGCCGTTGATGTCCTGCATCCAAATTGAATCCGACGGCATCGCTAACCATTATTACTATTATTTTAATTTGAAGCAGTACAAACAGGAGGGCGGCGTGGGGGTCACGGCTTTGGCTTCATCCCAAAGCAATATCTAGGCAAGTATCTAATCTTATCCAATGTCTATTTATATTAATTAGATCGAAAGAATTTTTATAAAAAAAAATTGCAAGTTAAAAGCGTGGTACCCAAGAGAAGTTGAGAAGGAGACAAAGGGCCATGAGTAGTAATGAGTTGGTAATCTAATTCACCCATTTTTTGGTACTAAATTTAAGTAATCAGTACTTAATATTCCTTGGAAAAGAGTGAAAGTCGTGTGCGCGATACATACCGACGAGAAAAAATCAATGTAATTAATGGCTGTAACAAGGCATATGCTCCTAGGGTTTAAATGCGACTCTTCAAAGGTTGGAGTTTTATGTGCGTGGTCTCGAAATTCATGGGTACATCGAAAATTTTTCTCTTTGCTTATTTGCATTCTACGAATCATATGATTCGTACCCATGTTCGCACCACCTCAGCATGACGTTCGCACCACCTCATCAGACGTCGCGAATATATAGTACCATCTATATGCTAGAGTTAAAAAAAAAAGAGGGAAGATTTCGAGCATCGTTGTTATTTCAGAAAAAATGCGGTACATAGGATTCGCTTGATTAACTCTCGAAAAAAATTTCGGGGGTCGGATGCATGACCACATGTTTTTTCAAGAAAAAGAAAACTGTCATCTTGATTTGTCGATTATATTGGATTGTCACGAACTACACTTTCGTTTTGGGGAGTGGTTGGCTACATGCTGTCACATGCCATTAGATTAATAGGAGGAAGAAAACAAAAGCATTATTACGAAAAATCTCTCCACGAAATCCATAATAATAATAATATTTAATATTTAATCATCCGAAAAAAATAAAAGAAAAAAATGGGGGAATTAATCCCATTTCCACCTTCCTTCCTTCCTTCCATATATCAACATCACTTTCAGATGGCCTTTTTTTTTAAATAAATAAATAAATTATTTATTTTAATTATTATTATTATTATTATTTTTAATTATCCCACGTGCTTTTCTAGCTCCACTTGCCTTCGAGAATCCTCAATAAATTCACTCCACTCATCGATCTTATCCTCCGCTCCCTCTCTCTCTCTAATGGCCCTCGTCCGCGACCGCCGGCAGCTCAACCTCCGCCTCCCGCTGACGGAGCTCTCCAACCGCCGCCCCCGCTTCCCCCCTCCCCTCCCCCTCCCCCTCCCCCTCCCCGTCCCCCCCACCTCCGCCGCCGCCGCCGCCGCCGCCGCCGCCCCCTCCTCCTCCGCCGCGGCGGCCGTATCCGGGGCCGCCGGGACCTCCCTCTCCGACCTCGAGAGACTCGGCGTGCTCGGCCACGGGAACGGCGGAACCGTGTACAAGGTCCGCCACCGGCGCACCTCCGCCGTCTACGCCCTCAAGGTCGTCCAGGCCGACTGCGACGCCACCGTCCGCCGCCAGCTCCTGCGCGAGATGGAGATCCTCCGCCGCACGGACTCACCGCACGTCGTCCGGTGCCACGGGATCTTCGAGAAGCCGAACGGGGACATAGCGATCCTGATGGAGAACATGGACGCCGGCAGCCTCCAGACGCTCCTCGAGGCCTCCGGGACCTTCTCGGAGAAGCAGCTCGCCGCCGTCGCCCGCCACGTGCTGAACGGGTTCCACTACCTCCACTCCCACAAGATCATCCACCGCGACATCAAGCCGTCGAATCTGCTCGTGAACTCGGCGATGGAGGTGAAGATCGCCGACTTCGGCGTGAGCAAGATCATGTGCCGGACCCTCGACGCGTGCAACTCCTACGTCGGCACGTGCGCGTACATGAGCCCCGAGCGGTTCGACCCGGACAGCTACGGCGGCAACTACGACGGCTACGCCGGCGACATCTGGAGCCTGGGGCTGACGCTGCTGGAGCTCTACCTGGGCCACTTCCCGCTGCTGGGCCCCGGCCAGCGGCCCGACTGGGCGACCCTGATGTGCGCGATCTGCTTCGGGGAGCCGCCGAGGTCGCCGGACGGGGCGTCGGAGGAGTTCCGGGGCTTCGTCGAGTGCTGCCTGCAGAAGGAGTCGAGCAAGCGGTGGACGGTGGCGCAGCTGCTGAACCATCCTTTCGTCGCCGGCAAAGATCCGGGACCCTCGTAGCCGGAGCACGCGGGTCGGGTCGGGGCAAAGCATTTTTTTTTTTTTCCGCTAGAAGACCCGGGAGTTTGAGGGAGGCGCGCGCACGAACGGGGCTCGGCCGGGACAAATCGGGTCCGGGTCGGGTCGAGATTCGCAGCGCAATCGTCGCAGCCCGAGTTAATGAGTGTTTTTTTTGTACATATGGGGCGGACTTTCGGGTCACAAATTTCGGGCACTCTCCTGTCCTTTTCTTTCTTCGTTTTAATGTTATGTTTTTAGGATGCTTCGGACAGTGAAAGTTGCTGTTCGATAACTAATGAAGGAAGCTTCTTGACCAGATCAATTCAAGCTCGTTCTCTCTCTCTCTCTCACTTGGTTATATTTGTGAATATCCGGTGATCATTGAGAGGGTTAATGCCCAAAAAAGGAGCACCAATTCTTGAGTTCGTGACTCGAAATTGCTCCAAAAATCAATCCATCGTAAGGAGTAGCTTTGACCCCCCCCCCCCCCGCACAGCGAAAACCAAGAAAGATCGGTAGACTCAAAAAGGTTTGTCTAAGCTAAATTTGGGGGGCAGAGATAATAAACTCGTTGTTAAATTTTTGCATCTTTTTTTTCCATAATGAAAGAAACGGGCGAGAAGGGACGGGATGGTTAAATTTAAGGTTGTGTGTTTTTTCCTTGGGGACCGGTGTATTAGTAGGTCCAATTATTGGGAGTCGGGGTAAATAAGTACTTACGACTAAGGGAGTGAGTTCCAAATCAATCGGCGGCGCGGCTGTTATATATAGTCTTAGAGTTAGATGGGAGAATTAACGAAAATTTAACCAACCGCTCACTGTTTTTCAAACTCACACCACCTAGAATTGACCCAAATCGGGCTCCATGACGTGTATAGCTTGAAACCCAATTCAGAAATGGTCGAGTTACTGCAATTTCTTGGTCAATTTTCAATTTGAAGTTTTCTAATGCGAAAAAAAGAAGAAGAAGAGGATCTTTTTTGCACGACAATAAAAAAGAAAGAACGTGCAAGCAACCCCACCGGTTTCACACGAATTGCACGTGCTTCTTCTTAATCTTTACTTGCAAGAAAATTTGAAGGGAGGGGAAAAGATAGTGACAGAACTACGCAGGAAAGGGGGTCACCCCTTCTTGAAACATGTCTCTTTCCAATGGGCCGGGTTCCATGTACCTTCTACTCTCCCCCCCGCAACTTGAAAAATTTGAGCCACCTCGAAAGAGGAAAGGGCACAAGTTGTGCAAATTAAATGTGGCGGGGTGGGGGGTGCCGCACTTCGCGCCGGCCTTGTTACCCGAACATTGTGAACGAGATGATTCGCGTGGATCTACGAAAGGGACATCGATCTACAGTATCACGGCAAGATGAATGTCGTCGTAAGATCTCGACGAGAGGCGGCTTTATTCGGATTTAGTCTACTATGCCATGACGGCATCGATGCCCTTATGATTCCGAACCATTGCATCGTGGGTATTCAGAATTGATGATCCAAAAGTCATGAGATCCGTAGGCCAAATGATGTTCTCACAATAGGTAGCTCGACTTGAATTTCTCGTGAGGACCCGAATCCATTCGACGGTCTCATGAATCGTAATCATCGAACGATGCAGACACCGTGTGTGGAAATTCCATCCCGTCGGCGGTCGATATTTACTCGATCCGTGGCCGACGGATTGGATCGGGGGGGCTAGGTGAGAATTTTCGGAGAAAGGAGGGGGGCTTCTTGTGAGATTGGATGGTGGCCGTCGATTGGCAGATGGAGCCATAAAAGAAAAGACGATGGCTTTGTGTGATGGGGATGGTGGTGACTTTTGGTGAGTGAGAGTGTATGTGTGATCCACGCAAATGGGGATGTTTCCGGACAGCTTCTTTCCAACCCAAAGTGAAAACAGAAAAGAAATCCTTAAAAAATAAGAAGGAGAAGAAGAAGAAGAAGAGGTAAGTTGAATCATAGGTGAGGTAGGGGATGACGAGTCAGCCCCCACGCCCACGTCTCCATCCAAAACGCCACTACTCCTTTCTCCAAGTCGATTGCGATGTGATTGATTTGCTTTTGGTTAATGGTAAGTTTGGAAATGTACATCCATGTTTTCTTAATCCATTTAGCTATTGCGATACGATTGATTACTTTTGGTAAATGGTAAGTCTGGAAATGTACACCCATACTTTCTTAATCATTTAGTTAGGGTTTCAGAGGTATGATCACTTAGTGTAACATTCCATTTTATCCTATAAGGGATTGGGAAGGTCAATCGACGATAACTATTTTCTTTAGGCATTATTACAAGAACTCACGCACGTCACGCCGTGCAATGTTCGGTCTGTCTCATCGCCAAGTGAGCAGTGCCTAACGACGACCTTTGGTTGGTTGGGTAGCGAGTAGGGAGAGCTTGAGACACGGGAGCGAGCGGGGAAGAAAGAGAGAAGACAACGCTAAGAGCTTTGAGATGATCGGTCGTTGGCGTTGGCCGCGGGATGGTGGACCGGCGGAGGTCGCGACGACGGGAATGGCAAAGCCATGGCGGGCGACATGGGCTGGACGCAGCATGGTGGGAAGTAGAGGTGGCCACGGTTCGGAACCGGTTCCGGGCCGGTTCCGATTTTTTTTTTTTCTGTTTTTTTTCTTTTCCTTTTCCTTTTCTTTTTTTTTTCTTCCTCCGCGCCCGGCCATAGCCGGGGCCGGCGCGGAGGTCGCCGGCCTCAGGCGAGGCGGCCCTCGCCGGCGTCAGGCGAGGTCGGCCCTCGCCCGACGCCGGCGAGGTCGAGCCTCGCCGGTTGCAAGCGAGGCCAAGCCTTGCCGGCGTCGGGCGAGGCCGGCCTCGCCCGCCCGGGCGAGGGCCGCCCTCGCCCGCCGCGGCGAGGGCCCCTCGCCCGACGCCGGGCGAGGCCCCTCGCCCGACGCCGGCGACCTCCGCGCGGCCCGGCCATGGCCGGCCGGGAGGAAGAAAAAAAATTAAAATATAAATTATAATTTTAAAAAACAGAAACAAGGAAAAAAGACAAAAGAGAAAAAGGAAAAACAGAAAAGGAAAAGGAAAAGAAAAAGAAGAAAAACAGAAAAGGAAAAACAGAAATGAAAATAAAAAAAATAAAAAAAATACTATTCTTGTGATAGAACATTATTCAATATAAATTGTGATTAAAATGTAAATTGTACTCAAATTTGGGGACAAAAAGACAAGAGAGAAAGAGAGGGCTTCAACTTAATAAATTATCATTAAGCACATTACAATTCGTTACAACGATCTTAAAAAAAAAGGAGTACAATATATATACCCTAAAATTATCCCAAAACCTAAGCATTCCGTGCGCAGGGGACCAGAGGTCACATATCGTCGGATTATATTTCGGTTTCCCTAAGCTCACGTAGGCGTACCCGGTATGAGAAACAAGAGTTCCCGAAATATTTGCCAACTCCAATAGTTCTTTTACCCTCAATCGTCACTACCCGTTCCAGTACCAATACTGGTAGCGGTAGTATCTCTGTCGTTAAAGAATTCGGATTCATTATTCCGATCTATCTCTTGTTGTCGGTATTGAGCCTTCGTCCAATCAGCAACACAAGCTTGCATCTCCACTGATTCTGGATCTAATCTTGAACGATGTTCGTTCAAAATATTACCTCCGGCACTGAATGCTTGTTCGACCGCAACTGTGGAACAAGGGGTTGAAAAACTCTGTTTTGCAATAAGAGAATGGATTGGGTATTGGCTTGCGTGCCTCTTCCACCAATCCAAAATAAAAAAAATCTGTACCACCTTCGGCTCAGTAAACTCAAATAAAATGGTTAGACAACTCTCTAATTCAGAAATATTTCCTATTACTCCCTTTTGTTTTTTTTGTCTATGTAATAAAAGTTGGTACCCTCTACTAATTTTACCTGTATTGTCATTTTGTATCTCCGTAGATTGAGAAGATCTAATATCACCTAAATTATATTTAGTATAAAATTCATTATATAATTCTATTACTACGTTTTTAACCTCACGTACTATGGTTGTAACATTTGTCACATCATAATGTAAACATTGATAATACGCACGCAAAAAATCATTTAAGCCATCCAATTTGCAACGCGGATCAAAAACACAAGCAACTAAATAAATCATGGGAATTTCACTATAATAATGAAGCCATTTCATTTTCATTGCAACTATAGTATGTTGTAATTCAACATCATTTTCATATTCATCAAAAGTTCCGACAATATTAGTACACTCTACTAAAAATAAATGTGTAGTAGGATAATAAACACCAGACAAAGTATAAGTTGCATCATTAAAAACCTTTAAAAGATCTAAATTTTTTTGGCAAATATGCCACTCTTGTGGGTATAAATTAATCTGAGGTATATTATTAGAAATGAATGCACATAATAAATCTTTATATGCTAAAGATTCATTAAGCAAGTGGAAAGTAGAATTCCAACGAGTTGGAACATCTCTTGGAAATCTTTTTGGCTTTTTGCCATTATCTCTACAAAATTTACCCCATTCTTTCATTTTTTTGGGATGTTTCTATAAAAATTGAATCGCCGTTTTTATTGGTTGAAGAAAAATATCAAGAGTTTTCAAACCATCTTGTACACATAAATTTAAAACATGACAAGCACATCTAATGTGAAAAAAATTTTCCGCCAAAAGCGGGTTTACAAATATTTTCTAACTTGGCAATTGAAGCGGTATTTGCTGCGGCATTATCAAAACCAATTGAAAAAATTTTGTTAAGCAAATAATATTCTTCTAAAACTTGCCTAATTATTCTATAAATATTATTTGCCGTATGATGATCATCGAAAACTCTAAATGCAATAACTCTTTTTTGAATAGTCCACTCGTCATCTATCCAATGACATGTTATGCCCATGTAAGAATGATTTTGCCAATGATCACTCCAAATATCACTGCCTATATGCACGCATCCATTAAATTGCATAAAAAAGTTTTGTAAATCATTTTTTCCATTTTTGTAAAGATCTTTAATTACTCGTTTAATTGAATTTCTAGGAACACGTTTTGCTTGTGGAGCACATGCTTTTTGTATAAATTCATTAAAACCAAATCTTTCTCCAAAATTAAATGCTAAATGCTCAACGGAAATAAATTTGCCTAATTCTTCCTTATAAGTTTTTTCATTAAAACTAAATAAAGGGGAAGTGTTAGGATTGACGTACCCGGAAATTTGTTGTTTGCCCGATACCGATTCCCGTTTCGGTTGGATGTTTGCTCATAAGATGTCGTTTAAATGTTCCATATCCTTGTCCACCTGTATATTTATATATTTTTCCACAATATTTACAAATTATATCATACCTTTTTTGACCGATATCAAACCTTTCCATTTTCGTGAAGTGATTCCAAATGTCAGATGTAAATTCCCGTTCCGCTTCCTTTGTTGTAGATATTTCAGTAGGTGGATGAAAACTTTCTTGCGTCGGGACGCGCTCCACATTGCGAAAAATGTTGATTTCATCATCTTGAAAATCTGCATATTCACGAGGATCAAAAGAATGATGGGATTCCGTCGCGATATTCTTACCTTTGCAAGTTGGCACTTGACTTCCACTTGCCATTTTTTGAATGGATTGAGAGAATTGAGCGGATTAATTGGGAGAATTAAGAAAGAATTGCGTGGATTGAGAAAATTGAGAGAATTTCAGAGAATTTGAGAGAATTTCGAGTATTGAGAAAATTTGAGACTTGAGAGAAGAGAATTGGAGAGAATTTGAGAGAATTGTGTGTGTATTGTGAGAATTTGAGAGAATTTATAGGAAAAAAATAGAAGAAAATTTAGAATTAAAAAAATAAAACATAACCGTTGCAAAATTACAACGGTTATGTGTTTTTTTTTTTTTTTTATAAAAACGCCCGTTGGGGCGTAGCCGTTGCCCCAACGGGCCGCAAGGTGCAAGGTTGCAAGCTCGCAGCAGGGCCTGCACGTCTGCAGGCCCTACTGCGGATAAATATATATATTTTTTTTGGGTTTGGCCGTTGCCTGGCAACGGGCTGCTGCTACAGCAGCATGGCCTGCATTGCAGGCCATGCTGCAGCCTGCCTGCAGCTTTTTTTTTATTTTTTATTTATTTATTTATTTATTTTTTTCGCAGAACCGGTTCCGGGCCGGTTCAAATTTTTCTGGAACCGGAACCGGGCCCGTATGCCACGGGCCGGTTCCGAACCGCGGGCCCGGTCAACGGGCCAGGCTCGGGTTTGACCGAGCCGGTTCCGGTCCGGTTCCGGGCCAAAATCGGCCCGTGGCCACCTCTAGTGGGAAGGAGGCTGAGTAGGGGAGAGGGAGGAAGGAGAAGAGAGATGGGCGTTATGATTTTGAACAGAGATCCACATTTCATTATTTCTAGGGATAAATGCACCAAAAATCTTAAAACTTGTCACGAAAATACAATTGAGTCTTAAAACTTTTAAAAAGTGCAATCAGGTCTTAAAACTTATTATGAAAGTGCAATCGAGTCCTAAAATTTTCAAAAAGTACAATCAAATCATAAAACTTGTTACGAATATTAAAACTTTCAAAAAATACATTCAACGGAAGGACTTGATTAGACCAATTTAACAAATTTTATGACTTGATTGCATTTTTTAAAAGTTTTAGGACTCAATTACACTTTGTGACAAGTTTTGGACTTCCAATGCACTTACTCTTTGTTTCTATCCAAACATATTTCAGACACCAAAATATGCTATGTCAAATAATTAATTAGGTGAAAAAAATTAAGGGATAATGACCCAAATGATCACTGAACTTTGACGCAATGTGCAATGTGGCCCTTAAATTTTAGCCTAATATTCAATGTGGTCCTTGAACTTTTAATTTGTTCAATGTGATCCTTGAGCTTTTAATACATATTTAGTATAATCTTTGAATTATATGAAAATTTTCATTGCAATTCTTCTATTAATTCGAGGTCAAGAACAATATTGAACATTTTCATAGAGTCCATAGACTAAATTGAACATGTACCAAAAGTTCAGGAACTATGTTAAATAAATTAAAAGTTCATGGATCACATTACATATTAAGCCAAAGTTTAGAAACTGTATTATATATTGGGCTTAAAATTCAGAAATTATTTACGTCATTTTAAAAAAAAATTGAAAGAAAGACCTAAAAAATCTATCGTAAAAAAGGGAGGAGGGGCAGCTTCTTCTCCTTTTTTTTTTCTTCTTTTTTTAACATTTTTCGTGAGGGGTAAGATCAGAATAAATGGATTTGCTCTTTTCTTGTCATATCTATGATGGGAGATATGGCAGGCGCCGCCCAAATATTATATATGAACTTTTTATGCCTTTACACGTGTAACATGTAAAGTGAACAGATCTTTTAGATCCCTAGGCCTGCTTATATGTATTAATAAATTATGCGGATAATATTTGCAAAATACATATATAGATTTCATCTAATCTTCTTATTTCTGATCTTTTTAGATCGGTTGGGAAACACACAAATGTGAGGTACATGAACTGTACTATTCTTTTTCCATACATTGCACCTCTAACTCCACCAATTTGAATAGTTTTGACTTATGCAAGTAAGGGCATGTTTTGACAACTTGCCAAATAGTAAAAATTTCTGTTCTTTTGTTCCTAGAATCAGTTTGGGAGCAGAAATTCGTTTGTTAAATTTTTTGTGCCTGGGCATAATTTTGCAAAAAATTGTTTTCAGAATCAGTTTTGGAACATAATCAAGAAGCAAAAAAAAGTAGCTTCTTGATTCTAGAACAATTTTTCCATTTCTGATTCTTCTTCATTTTCTTCTTTTTTTTGGTTTGTTGTTGTTCTTCGGCCTGCCGCCCGCCACCCGTCGGCCACTGGCCGCAGGCGAGGCTTCGCCCAGCCAAGGCGAGGCCGACCTCGCCCAGCCAAGGCAAGGCCGGCCTCGCCGTCGCCACCCAGGTCCGTTGCCTGGGTGGCGACGGCGAGGCCGACCTCGCCTTCACCTGGGTTGGCGACGGCGAGGTCGGCCTTGCCAAATCTGGGCGAGGTCGAGCCTTGCCCAGCCAAGGCGAGGTCGACCTCGCTGTCGCGATCGGCGAGGGTCGCGACGCCCTCGCCGACCCTGGCCTGTGGCCGGTCGCCAGCGTCGGCGACCGGCCTTGGCTAAGGAAGAGAAGGGAAAGAAAGAAAAAAAAAGAGAAAGAAATATTAAAAAATTCAAAATATTATTAAAATATTATTAATAAAATGAAATTTTGTGTAGTTACCAAATGCATTTCTGTTCTTTTTCTATTCTAAGAATAGAAATTTTGGGCAGTTACCAAACGTTTTCAAATGCTTAGAAATTGTTTGGCACAGAATAAAAAAGAATTATTTTCGAGCAGAATCTGCTCCCGAGCACAGAATGGTTGCCATGCGCAGCCTAACTAAATCATCTCGACAGTAAGATGGATAACTGGTATTAAAGATCGATCTTCGATTACCATCTCCTTAACCAGTTCCTATAGGACAAGAAGTTCCCGTCGCCGGCTGGCGGTAAGGGGAACGAACGACGGCCCGTCATCGCATCTGAAGTTTTCTTGTTTCCTCCTCTCAATTCTAAAAATCAAACCTGATATTGTTGAATGTTTAGATGGCGTGGCGACCAGAAAGAGAGTTGAATAGAGTGAAAGGGAAGTGAAAGTATGGGATAACGTTTCATATGTCACCGTTATTTTAGCCAGTATGATGGAAATCACACCATAACGATGCTACAGTAGACCTTAGGTGATCCTGTGAAATATAGGAACATCCTTCACTTCTCATCAAACATATGCACAAATTCGAAGCTCTAATTCGAGGACCGCCTCGATTCTTATCATATCATGTACACCATGCCGACCTCGACGAGTGCGGCGTGGGGGATGTTCAGCGCAACCAGAGGCTCCCGGGAGTTTCTATCCAGGAGAACATAGACCATAATCACGAGCCGCTTCAGAAAGTTCGAACCTTTACGTGCCACCAGATGGGACTGGCCGAGGATGTATGCGGTGCCGCTCTCCCTAGCGTCAACTAGTTGTTGCAACTCCTCCCGCACAGATGCTTGCATTTTGGGACGACTCTCTGGAGGCAATACGAACTGGACCTTCTTCCTCCTGACTGGGGCATTAGTACTAGGATCTTTTTCCGACCCGGGGTGGTACGAAATGGTCATGTTTTCCTTGCTGGTCCGGCTTGAGGACGCAGTGGACATGGAGTTGTTAACCGGGATGAGGGCATACGCCGCGTTTCCATCCGATCCCGGCTTCCCGACGATGGTCATCTTCCCTTCCTCAGAAGTGATGGACTCGAAGTCGTTCTCTTCCAGAGAAATGAATTCCCCGATGGAATGGATGATCTGCTCCTCGAAATCGTCTGTGTCCCTGATGCGGTTGCAGTATCCATATTGCACGATGCACCGGTAGATCTTGTAGTCCTTGTGGCCGACCCTGCCAATGAGGAATCGCTGGTCACAGGGCACGTAAGGCAGCGGCTGAGACTTGAAGGACACGAAGATGAGCACCTGGTGGAATGCGGGAAGGTTCGTGACGAAGTGTGAGAAGAATGCTGGGACCCCAGTCACTATGTCCGTGTAGATGAAGCCGATCCCGGGGACCCTGGAGATCCCAAGACCCTCGCTGAAGTCGGTGAGCCACTCGGACGAGACCTTGTTCTCTAGATCGAACTCATACTTCTTCATCGATCCGTAATGCCACACGAGCATGATGGTCAAGAACAGCACAGAGAGCATGACGAGGTACCATGCCCCCAGGTGGAAGTTCCAAATACATGCTGATAGGTACATGACTTCGATAAAGCCGAAGAACATCAGGAAACACGCTGATAGGATTAGGCTCTTTTCCCAGTAGAGAGAGATCACAAGTGACATCAGGGAGGTTGTTACGAGCATTCCTGACACAATGGCCATTCCTGCAGAAATTTGACCCAGTTTCTTGTTAGAAAACGGAGACGAGTAACTCATGTCGTAAACAATTGTCGTCTACTCGCTTATCTTCCTTGATAAGTGGATAAAACTAATTACTTGCCAAGCAATGCATCAAACATACCGACACTTGCTGTCTATATTTCCTGTCTAAATTTGTTTGCTTTAATGTTATGACATTCATTTAGCCTTACAAATAGAATGAGGTAAATGGCAAGCCTTCAGAACCCAAAAACTAATATATGTATATACATATTGGACTCAAGGAATTGAACCTGTCGCGTATCCAATTGCCTCGACTTTGTGGAAACCGATCGTCACCGAGAGGCTCAGGACCATCAACAGCCAATTGAGGTCTGGGATGTAGACCTGCCCGTGTATCTTATCTGACGTGTGCACCACTTTTACCTGGGGGAAGCAGTTAAGTGCCAGGAGCTGGTTTATGATCGAGAAGCTGGCCGTAATCGATGCTTGGCTCCCGACCGCTGAAGCGAACAGAGATAACACCACAAAACCATGCCGAGTATGATCTGGACACGCGGTTAAATCCTTCTAAGCAATCGTGGGTTAGAAAAAGAAGGTGGGGTCGGAAGATACTAAAAAAGAGGAGGAAATTGAGAAAGACGTCATGATTGTATGAGTACCTACCCGGCATAGAGCTACTGAGATGATTGAAGTGTTGGACGATCTGCCAGTTTTTGGATATGAATGCAGCTTGACCCGCATAGGATACGAGAAGAACTGGATAAACGCAGCACACAAAGGTTATCTGCAGAGAGTCAGAATCCAAAAAAGTCATCTGTCGGTCTTTGGCATGGAGAAATAGAAATTACTAGAGCATGAGCTCTCTATGAAGCAACCTTAATTGACTTCTTTGAAAAGTGGCCTAGATTCGCAAACATCGCTTCTGATCCTGTCAAAATTGCACACCAGCGGAGAAAGCAGTGAACATTTTCGCAGATTAACCGTAATGTCCTTTGTAATAGCTAAGAAGTGGGAGGGAAAACGAATGGTTGATCACACTAACCTGCTATGCAGAGAAGAATGCTTCCCAAAGATCTCCAACTATGTTTATGGATATTTCTCACGAATCTGTACATGTATGCCGGGGATATGGCATGAAGAATATCAGGGTTGCAGTGCAAGATATTATATACACCTACCGCACCAATAAATAAGAGCCAAATGGTGACGATTGGTGCGAATAGGAACCCTATTTTATCCGTTCCATATCGCTGCAGCATGAAAAGGCAAATCTGTATGATGCATGCAGAAGGAACCGGAACATCTGGGACACAAAAGGAGAATATAGAATAAATGTCAAACAAACAGATCGACATATTTAAATGCTGTTTCAAGAACAAGTATTACCGGCACATTCTGCCTTTCATTTGGGCCGAACAGCATTTAATGGCCAATTACACATTACAAATCAAAAAGGAGAAAATTAACACCAACTGGGCACTTGAAATTGTTTGATTTGTATTGTAGATCAAATGTGAAAACAAGAAAGAGAATACAGTAGAGCAAGATATCTAAAGGCTGCCCAGTTTCGGAATTGAGAATGGCTATACACTCACATTTTTTCAAGGCTTTTGTAATGGAATCTCGAGTGGCGTTTGAAGAGGAAGCTGGTAAGATCCAAATAACAAGAAACATGAGAAGTAGGTCATTTCCGAATCATTATTTCCTTATCATCTTACAACTGGATATATCTTGTAAATCATACATGAATTGACAATCTCCGACAATGACCGCTCAACCCCATTAGAAGCCGACAGCACTGGTTCAAACAGGAGGATGAAGTAATAACCAACTTATTCAACTGAATTAGTCTCAAAAGTCAAAAGGATATGGGAAAATTAACAAGATTAATTAGGGGTTCGGAACCGGATATTGCGGGGGTAAGCACTCCATCGTTGATAATCATACACGAACCAAACAGAGCCAAGAACAGCATCAAGTAGTGGCTAAATCGGTGCTTCTCGAGAGCCCTTCTGGCCCTCAATCCCAACTTCATCTTAGATGGGGTCTCCACCAAATGCACAGCCTTGTCGGTAAATTGATCATTCGGAAGCAGACCCACTTTCGCGTGCCTGCACAATAGCGAGTATAAAGCGAATGTACCGCCTGCGAGAATTTGCAAGCTATATCAGCACCACCGCAAAATTCATTGTGAAAACCGACCCAGTACTCTAGGAAGTAAACTCTTACCCTCTCCATCATCATCGGCTATCAAGACTATTAAGGCATACTTCAGCAAGGAAATGACGGTGATTGTCCAGAAGATGAAGGAGAAGAACTCATATGGAGTCTCATCTGACACGAAATCCTCTTTAGGGATCGTTCCAAAAACATACAAAGGTGCAGTACTTAAATGGCCGTAGACTACTCCAAGGGTCTGAAACGATAAGAGGGCCACATGCTTCCATGTTTCTTTCTGCACGTGTAGCCGAAAGCATGTCGTCACATGGCAAAAGGTATCAAAAAAATAAATGCGAGAGCTAACACAAACAGCTGCAATGGATTTGGATATATAAAGATGCTGATCAAACCAAAAGAAATGACCTGCGTGCACATGTGAGGCTGAAGTTATACAGATCATATGCAGGACAGAATCAAAACAAAAAGCTAGAGAACTGAAAAGGAACAATAACCATTGGGTTTACACGGTAAGTATTAGAATTGTCGATTTCAGCAGTTGATCCCTCTTCCAGCAAACAATGATAATCTTATGACGGAGTCAAAACTACTTGCCGAAATAAGCACCACAAATAGTGAATTTGGTTGATGCCAAACCTCGAAAACAGTATTCCGACAATCACCAGCGATTTTATAGACATTTAACTGTATCTCAAAGGACTGGAACTTTACCTGAGGCTGACGAGAGAAAGTTCCATGGTTCAGCGGAGGATCCATGACTAAACAGAGCTTGTTGAGAGAAAGTGAACTGGGCAACTATTATAAATTGGATATCAGTCAAGAAAGAGAGGAGTGAACTCTCATGTGAGAGATCAGACAGACGAGAATGGCAAAGCTATCAAGCCAACAAGTGTCCAACTGAGAAAACCTAGTTTTTTCAGAGAGAGAGGGAGACTCGTGAGATGGATGCTTATAGCCTTTGTGCTTCTTGTAGATTCAAAACTTTGGCTGATATAACAAAGAGAGGGACACAACAGACTAGAGACTGCAAATATGTTCTTATTTTGGAGTGTTGCTCATGTTTGAGAGGGAAAGCCGGAATAACAAAGACGGCCATTTTTGTCTGAAAAAGAAATCCTCAAGACACAATGTGTTCATTTCAAGTCCAAAGATTTATCACATGCTATTCCATTTGGATTGTCTGAACTTTATACCCTTCCTGCTGCCTTTTTAAAAAAATTGAAGGGGAATAAAAACAGAGAGAGAGAGAGAGAGAGAGAGAGAGAGAGAGAGAGAGAGAGAGAGAGAGAGAGTAAAAACAAAACATAGTGCCAGATTGATCGAAACATGAAGAGCAGCGAGGCTCCGGCCTCCTGTAATTATATTATCATCACCAACTCACATTTATATAATTTCCGTTGTAATGAAAGGACCGCATTCTTTAACTTGCAATGCCAAGAAATTCTTCAATTCCCCTCACCAGGAATTAAACATTCGGAATGCCATGTTACTTAACATACCAATTTCGTGAACCAATTTTATTAACCTTAGACTTGAAGTCTTTCAAGAATTCACCACTCAGTCTTATTCAATCTAATTTTTCCACATTCGGACTCTCAAAGAGCCCAGAGCCAACAGCAGCACTTTCCCCAACGATTGAGTCACTTTAAATCTCATCGCTTAGCAGAGACGAACTGCAAATCTTTGTGATCCCTGGACTAATTCTGCAAACTACACGCGCTCATGTGCTTGGAACAAATTGAGGGAAAGCACAAATCTCTAGGAATCAAGAGGCAAGATCTGAAGCAACTTCCGTTGTAATGAAAGGACCGCATTCTTTAACTTGCAATGCCAAGAAATTCTTCAATTCCCCTCACCAGGAATTAAACATTCGGAATGCCATGTTACTTAACATACCAATTTCGTGAACCAATTTTATTAACCTTAGACTTGAAGTCTTTCAAGAATTCACCACTCAGTCTTATTCAATCTAATTTTTCCACATTCGGACTCTCAAAGAGCCCAGAGCCAACAGCAGCACTTTCCCCAACGATTGAGTCACTTTAAATCTCATCGCTTAGCAGAGACGAACTGCAAATCTTTGTGATCCCTGGACTAATTCTGCAAACTACACGCGCTCATGTGCTTGGAACAAATTGAGGGAAAGCACAAATCTCTAGGAATCAAGAGGCAAGATCTGAAGCAACTCCCAGCTTCATTACAATGCGATAATACTTGCAGAGAGCCATGAACGTCCTTTCCAGAAAAAAAAAATGGCAAAGAACATTCTTCATCTAATCTAGATATCAAAATGATAACTGTCGAAGCCCCATTACCCGTGGTTGATATACCTGAAAATCCAAAGCCAAAAAAAAAAAATGGTTCAAGAACGGCGACATGACGAGTCGACAGGTGCTCCTGATCCACAAAGCTGAAATGCAAACACCTCATTCGCAAGCCTCCTCCCAGTCATCAACTACTTCAGCCGCCTCCACTGCACTAGAAACCAGTCCTAGCGTTCCTTCTGAACTACACCCGCCAGCCTTCAATTCCGAGCCCACCACAACCTGACCTCCAATTTTAACCGAATTGATCTCCTTTCCGACTAACGAAGCAGAGGAGCTCGTGGCGTTTTCAGAATCCAAGACGCTCCAACGATTAACCGAAGCATATATAGGAGCTTCTTTCTCTTTCAAACTGGAGCTCTGAGAATCAATAGACCACTCCTCACCACCCCATGAATCTTCCTTCCAATCGGAAACCTCCTGCACAACAGCCCTCTTCCATGGATTGCCCTTCATAGCTCCAACTGAAGCTCCTTCTTTGGCCGGACCAGCTCCTCCCCACACATTGGGCATAGTCAATGATGATGAGGCACTTCCATTCTGAAGCACAACAGCCCCATGATAAGCTGAGCCATGATCCAACCTCCTCAAAGCAGTTGCAGCACGAGCGGGGTCACTGAACACGGCCAGCGCATTCTTATCATTCAACCAGACTAACTCACATTCCCCACCAAATCTCAGGACCAGAGCGCTTATATCTGCCTCCCTAGGCAAGTCAAGGAAAGAAACAACAAGCCTAGGGTCCATGTCAACCAACGGGTCGAATGTGGGTGGGTGGGGCACGTTTGAGGTTATAGAGCCCCTACCTCCGAGCACACGAGCTGGTACTTTAGACTTTGACGTGGCGTGGACCACAATAAAACGTTTTGGCTCCCAACCAGCTGCGCTAACCACAAGCTTCCACCTCTCGGCAATAAGCCTCACTGCATCTCTTTTTTCCTTCAGCATTGGACAGAAAACATGAACTTTGAGGCTAGTGGCACTTCCTCTGCTCTTGCCAAGAACTAAAAACTTGCATCTCTCCTCAACAGCTAACACCCATTTAGGATCACGCCTAAAGAGCTCCAGAACTGATTCTGACACGGAAGAATTCTCCCCGAAATGAAGGGCTTCCAAGTTCGGTGGGTTGATGTCAAAAGCATCTGCAAGAACCCGCTTGCGCTCTAATTTAGCACATTCATCATCACACACCAGCTTCCTCTGCCCAAGTGGAGTTCTCTTCCCAGTAGCTTCTACTGGTTGAAGTGGCACAGGCAACTTTTGGATTATGGAAGCTTCAAAAACAGCGTCGGTGCTAAAATTGCCATTGGTCCCACCGGCATCACAAGGTACACTTACTGTTATTCGTCCACAAGAACAAGTGATTGTGACAGGGGAATCACATCTCGAATCAGGACATGAAGCTGAAGGGTGACAAGGCGCTTTGCAAGTGTGTCTGCAATCTCTTCTAGGAGCACCACATACCTGTCCACACGAAACTTTGAGACTTGTTTCACCGGCTGAATTGTCGGAATCACAAGGTGGCGGGTGACAAGTCCGGCCACAGGCGTGTAAACCACACTGCCTGGTCTTACCACAGGGTTTGTTACATCTGATGTCTTTGGACCCACACGGTATGTTCCTGAGAACCACATGTCCACCGATGCACTCTTTTGCCACTGGAAATGAACAGGAAGGGCATTCTCCAAAGTGACAGCTGTGAGTGGATGAGTGCCCACAAGGTTGAGGGATCAAGCATGGTAGCTGACACAAAGGTGGGGGTGTGCCACAAGGCAGAGGAGGAGGAATCGAAGTTTTACCGCATGCACAAGTTAAATCGGTGAAGATCGTTTCGAGGCAAGGAGGGCAGTGGCCACTGTGACAAAGTGATTCACATGAATGCTGCCCGCATCTAAGCTTCTTGCCACAGACCATGGAGCACAAATGAGGGTCCCAGTCACCAAGAGGAAGGTTGCTAGAATTTGACAAAGGGCAGCAACGCTCGCTACAACGATGCCTACCACAATTTTTCTTCCGTCCGCACGGTTTATCACAAGTGAATATCTCCTCCCTCGTTCTGTGGCACTCAACAGTACGAGAAGTCAAGCCACAACGACATTTTTGGGCAACAGTCACCATACAAGGAGGACAAATCCCTGCATGACACGTTTCCTCACAAAAGTGTGTCCCACAAGGGAGTAACTTGTCACAAACTTGAGAGCAAGTTGGAATGGGGTCCAGACAATTCTGTCTTTCATCCCTCAAATTCATTTTTCCACAATAGCACGTTTTAATCCTGCCCGGCAATAAGTCGCACTCCCTGCAAGGACCCGGATGGCAAACTTCGCCGCATGAATGATTACCACAACTAAGCAATTTTTGACAAGTTGAATTGCAAGAAAAAACACCACTTTCCGCATCAACTTCTCCCTTCATGGCCATTTCTCCACAAAGAACAACCTCTATCTTCTTTCTGCAGAAGCATGAAGCATTCAATAGTACTTGGCAAGGATCGCATGGACCCACATGGCAAGTTTGCTTACAGCGATGACGCCCGCACTCAAGAAGCTTATCGCAGCACTTACCACAAGTAAGAACGGACCTGCGATCAGAGCATCGAGTCGTAATCGTTTCCTTCCCACAAGGGCACAGCCGCGAAGGGGCAAATGCCTTGCAAGGAGGGCATGGACCAGGATGGCACTGCAAGACACAAAGATGGGGGCAAAAATCCTCCTCCCTCTCACCAGGATGCAAGATATCCCTTTCCAATGGCTTCCCACAAGGTTCTCCACATGAATGTGGTGTCAAATATAAATCTGACGGCGGATCTGTCCTTTTTCTGCAGAAGCACACATATCGAATCTCCTTTGATGATGTCAGTTGCACGTGCTGACATCCAGGACAACGCCAATTGACACCCTGATTCTTCTCGGCAGAAAGATCGACCGAAGTGGGCGCCCGAGCCCACTTCTTGATGCAATTGAGATGAAAAATGGAGTAGCAGCTGGAGCAAGACCAAATGGGTGCAGACCTCCGGACCATATCATAGCATATCATGCACTCCACAGTACCCTTCATCAGCTTCTCCTGAATTTCTTGCACCAACTGAGGCAAATTCGGGTCATTGGACACTCTCTCTCCATTGAACTCGCTCCTCGCTTTTTCCTTCTCCCTTCTCTGATTCAAAGGTCGAGCAGGGTGACCTCTTGGACCATGATTACCACTGGGAACAGAACTGTGATTCGCAAACCCATCATTTCCGCGCAAGTTCCCTCTATGCCCATTATCGGGAGGAAAAACGCGAAAATTTGATGCATGCCGACTATCAGAAGAAAACGTTCCATCATCAGAACTGGGGTTCAAGTTCGCCGGTGCCGGAGGGTTTGCAGGCGGAGCATTTGGTACAGACCCTCTGGGAACCCATTCTTGACGGGCACTCTGAGCAGGTACTCTAGGTCTTCTGTTGTTTCTGGCATGGTTATTCATAGTCCTCAACGAATTCCGATTCCACAGTATACTATCTGACAAAGCCAACTCGAGCTTGGCGTGGATTGCACGATCACACGAAGTAGGACCGCAGGATCCAAAATTCCGGGTCAAATCCCTTGGAAGCTGCAACCAGGAATGAAACGATCAAAAAGTTCGAAAATGCCGGGTAAAAGCCGATGAGATCAGAACCACAATCCATCGCCCACAAAGGCAAAAGAGAAAACAACACACAGGGATCGCAATCACAATAAAACCGCATCATCATCATCATCATCACTCCCCAATCTTCACTCGTCAAACAATCATCAACCGATGCAGGCCTATAGACACGAATCTCTCCTAAACGCCCTTCCGAAGAAGCCAACCATCGAGCAAAGCCAGAACAGCCCTTCACGGACAAACGAGCAAACACCTCGCCGGCAGGACGACCCGAACCCCAACAACAAGAAAATCGCACGGAAAAATGAACGACGCACCTGAAGAACCTTCAAACTGATGGGGCCAAAGCGATGGTTACCTGAAGAACCTTCTTTCCACGAATCCCCCGCAAAGCAATAAGAATCACACCTCCTCCTCCTCCTCCTCTTCCTCCCTCAGGTTCTCGGGTTCCAAAAAGCAGATCTTTTTAACCTGTGGGAGGAGCAGAACAAGAAGAGGAGTGGCGGGTGTTGGGCTGAGCTCTTGGGTCTTCTTGGATTTCCTCCAAAACAGATAAACCGACCCGACAAGCGAGAGGCGGAGAGACAGGATTTATAGCGACCGCATCCCCTCTTTCTCGTCGCTCCTCTGACTTTCCGAATCGTGGCTTGCGCGACGATCATCTTGAAGAGCCTACCGCCACGGTCGGTGTGGACCTTGAGCCCATGGACAGCCGATCGATGGATGCTGGGCCGCCGCACATCGTGACGCAGCTCCCATGGTTTTCATGCCTCGGCCAATCTTTGGTTTGGTTTCCACTATGATTTATAGCTTCGAAGTTTTTGTCAATTCAAAACCAACTCGTCCAGAAAAACTCATGGTTATTCCAACTATAAATAGCCCACTTGGATTAGATTGGGTTCGAAGATAGCCCGAGACGGTAGATGGCCGACCCCGCGTAAAGGTAAGTGCGTTCCACGCACACGTTAGCATCGATCCGATTTGGATAGAATCGTGTGAAGTGAGTGCGGAATTCGATTTTCGTGCGTGACTTTTCGAGCCGAGCATCGGGGTGCGAGAGAGGCTAAACGGAAGGGTCCGATAAAATCGCGAAAGACCGCCGAATTTTTCAATCCGATTAATCCGTCTTTGATTTTCAGTGATTTGGTCCAAGCATCGATTGATCCGGGGGTGCTGGTCATGGAGAGTTCTAAAGTCGAGAAATTTAAGGCTAGCTATGAACGCTATTGCAATTATGTATTCGGCAAAGACAACAACGTATTTTCCACAGGCCACCAAATCTCAATCAACACCTACCAAAACTCAACGACAGAGAGAGAGAGAGAGAATGAGATTCCCGTTGTCCTACGAGTCGCCGACGGCGATGGCTCTATCGGAAAGCCCGAGAGGCGACGGGGACATCTCCCGGAGATGAGGTCTGGTCTCGAGGTGACCGGGCCACCAGTCGACGACCGTCTCCGGCTCCCGCTTGATCTTCCTCACCCGGCTGTGCACCGCCGTCTCCGCCTCCCGGGCCGCCGCCGCCGCCGCCGCCTCCTCCTCCTCCCCCTTTCCTCTCCTCTCGCCGACGGCGACCCACCGTCTCTGCTCCATCTCCCTCCGCCGCTACTCTCTATCTCTACGCCGGAGGCTGGTGGGGAGTTCGTTGGTGGGTGGCGACGGGATGGCGCGATATATAAGCGCAGAGAGAGAGAGAGAGGCGTAGAAGGTAAGGGAAGAGGAGGAGGAGGAGGAGGGTGGTGAGCGAGTGGGAGTCAGTGAGTTGGGTGAGCGAAGGCGGGGAAGAGAGATGACGACGAGTTTTTTGTCTGATTCTCCCAACGAAGACTCCTCCCTGTTGGACCGTGTTACACGTGGGGGAAACGCCGAAGATGATCCTGCGCCGGTCGCCTGTAAAGGGCAAGTTGCTTGGTCCCGCGCTTGCTGCTGACCGTTCGATTGCTGAGCGGTGAGAGACCCCGCGCATCTCTTGTGAGGGCCCGTTTACCCACGCTTGTACATTGCTTGGCTGCGTTTGGTAGTTCGAATAAGAAAACAAAATATCATATCCGGTGTTTGGTAACATCGTTCGGACCGGATACTCTGGATATACCTAGATAAAATGTCGGATAAAAAGTCAGGGCTAAAGGGTGGGATAAACTTGGATCAAATAAAAAAAATTTAGAAATTGCTTAACAAATTCCTTCCAAGAATGGAGTGATGAAATCTGGCTTCGCCAACCATCGTGCAAGGATTGCCGCCACAATAGCCCGATTATCGTCACTTCCAACCACCGTGCAATTTGTCATCGCCTCTAACCACCGTTGATCGTCGTCGTCGTCCAACCGATCGTGTTCATGTTCTGACAACAGAGGGTGAAAATGAGAAGTTACATGTCACGTGTCTATCGCCATCGAAGAATTGGAATACTTCCATGAGTGCGCCAACTCCTTCGAGGTCGTCATCCACAACAGAGGCTTGTTCGCCCTTGCTATTCTCTACCCCCAGCGCCATGCACCGGTGGATCTCCATCCACCTCTTCGCCCTTCACGACCCCGGATTGTTGGTGACAATACCAAGTGGCGCTTGAGCTTCGCATGCGGTGTCCACCGCCCTGTCACTACCATTAATGTCTACTTCGGCCGTTGTTGCCTTGTCTACTAGATTGCGGCAATCGCTACCTCCTTCGATTCTCCACAACCCCCTCGGCGACACGAGACTCATCTTCGCCAATGTCCAAATCGCTTCTGATACGGTGAAGCTAAGAGAGAATTACGATCTGAAGGTGGACATGGTGGTAGATCTGGCGAAATTGGTGATGAAGGAGACGAACCAGAGGGAGCTTAAGGAAGTGGGTTTGAGACGCTAGCGAGGGAGCTTAAGCGATAAGATTGTTAGAGATTGCTATGGACAAATGAGATTTTCAAATATTTTTATCTCGGATGAGATTTTCCACAATCCGAAAGATGTTTAGAAAATTTCTAATCCCACTTTATCCTATCATGTCCGAATCTAAATCCGGTAGAAATATTCCTTAAGTTTAACCTAGCCATGAGAAAATTGTATAACGTACTAAATGTGGATACTCGAACATTTTGACTATGTCGAGATTTTCGAAAATTCCAAAATCAAAAGTAAAAATCACTCCAAACTACCGTACAACAATTAGCGAAAAATAATTATTTCATCTGTCAATCTAACAGGGAACGGATCGGTAACGATATCCCTATTTGTAATTTACGACTAAGAATCTGGACATATATTTATGTGCACGCGCGGGCGCTCTTGAAACCTTTTTTCAGCTGAAATTTTCATGATCACGAGCTACGAACAAAGTAAGAACCGAGCCGGGTTAAAAGTTCTCGCTCCACCTTTTCGACTTAGACCACTCGATCGACAGGCTCCCTTTACGGAAATTGTGGTGTCGCTATCTCATGAGAAACCAGATCGTTTTCACATTCATAATATTTTGTAATTTCTCCATCTATTTATGCATGACAAAACTACGTTTCAACGATTCACGTATCCATATGACGGGGATATGGCCGTGAACACACCATAGAACTTCTCGCCAAAGCAGCCGAGGGGCGTGCAAAATGAGATAAATATTTCCTGGGTCATGTTCAAAGGATTCTCGATGGCAACCATTATTCCCAGAGGTTAGCCGAACATGCACCAACTCTTCTAGGCAAAAGAAAAAAAGGGGACAAATATCCGCGGTTGACCGTGCTTCAATTATCGTGAAAATTATGCAAATGATTCGTGGACATCCGATCGATACGCAATACCATCTCTAAAATTCAAATTTGTTCAATATAGATCCATCAAAATAGGCCATCATAGACACATTTCTTAATCCGTATTTGATGGACTGAGTTGTTATATGGGTTATTTATATTTTGTAAATGGATTTAAATATAATATGAGCGTTAAATGAGTTTACAATTTATTTATACCCCCAATTCACGTCTTTGTCTCTCTCTTCATCCTTTCTTGCCCTCGTTCGATCTCGCTCTCACTCAACTTAATTTGGGTATGAGTTTTCGTAAATTAAGTTAGATATGGAAGTATTTTAGTATTATAGATTTGGTTGGGTCGGGTCCGGTATGGATCACTAATGGGTCAAAATGGATTAAATAGTTCTATTTGGGTCGGACCATTTTCAGCCCGATTCACCTGTTTGACGGGTCTAGTTCAATGTGGTATCCGAACTATTTCTAAACGTCGTAGTCAAACATTATTTGATGAAGTAGATGGGTTGGATTTTTAAAAAAACGATGAGCATACATGACCATCTTTTTATGCCAAACTTGACAAACGGAAAATGCTAATAAATTTTAGAATTTGATTGCACTAGCTTAATAAAATTTTAAGAATTTATTACACATTTTAAAAAGATTTAAGACTTACTTATACTTTTTAAAACTCAATCGCACTTTCGCGATAATCTTTTACGACTTTCGGCGCACCTGTCCCGCTAAGTCAATATGAATTGGATCGTTAAATCGGGTCGGCATCGTCCATTCAATTGGACGGAGTCAATTTTCGGAACGATACCGAGCCGATCCAAACACGATTCGCTTCGCACCGATCGCCCCGACATAAATCAAAATCGGCCTGTGATCGGGTCTGGTTTCGCACTGATCTCCCGCTCGAGCGAAGTAGCCGTTGAATGGTACGCACGCCGGACAGTGGGACACGTTCTTCGAGAAACGACGCGACCTCCAAAAAGGAACGTCTCATCTGCTCGCAGAAAGCAAAGATCAACAACAATGGAGTGAAGAAGACGACGACGACGACGAAGAAGACGACGGTTCCGGCATCGTCTTCTCCGTAGCTAGCCGTCGATCGACACCGCCGTCGCGACGCGCCGCAGATGGGGCGATCTCCGGCGCCGCGCGACTACGAAGGCCTCCGGAATGCTCGGATCCTGGAGAACCAGGTCCCCCCCCCTCTCTCTCTCTCCTTCCGACGAACCGTTCGCTTGCTTTTTTCGGTCATCCGGATTTCACTGTCGATGCGTTTCGTCTCGTTGATCGCTCGAAGAAATCGGCCGTTTCGGTTTTGCTCCCGGGTTAGGGTTTGGCGTTTTCTGCTGTTGTTCGTCGTCGCGGTGATAGGATGGAAATTTTTTTTTGCAGGCTCGGTTGGCGTCTTTGGGACTGCAAAAGACGATTCACGAACTCCGCTCTCTGTCTTCACCGGCGAAGCCGGTTAGGGCACAGCGGAAGAAGGTGTACTCCGTCGGTGCGCTGCGTCGCTCGGAGCGATTGAGAGGGAAGCCTGCTGTGAGAAGTGCTGCTTCGGTGCCGGCGCGATGGCCGGGCCGCTCGAATGGGAAATTCGCCGGCGGCACGAAGATGGAGAAAGGTATCACCGTGTGAAAAAAAAAATGACCTGTTTTGGCACATTTATGTGAAATGGGTTTCCTTCAGTTGAGTTTATTTGGTATTGGGAGGCGGAGTGGCATGTGCTTTTTTGAATATTTCATATTCATATGTCAGTTTAATTGATATGGTGTGATCTGCTATGTGAGGCAAAATCAGGTGAAATTAGCCATCTGCGTCGTTCCGATCGGTTGAAACGTACAGCTGCTGAGTCGGTGCCCAAACGACTCGCGGCATCGGATTCTTCAAACGGCTCGCCTGAATCATCTCTCGAAGGTATCACTTGTACTTGTTTGGCCGACATTTGGGCATGATAGCTTATTCAAGTAGCAAATTAACCATGTGCTTTTTAGCAAGTGTTGCTTGCCTCACTGAACGATACTCTTCAGAGCAAATCCATTCATTGTATGTATGCTGAAGCTCAGCTCTTTCCATGTGGGTTAATGGAAAAACAGGGAGTGGTCATGAAGATGGTGAAGAGCTTTGGTCTACTGGATGTAAAAGCATCAGGCCTGCCAATAAACCGCTGCTGAAACTACAGGGCTTAGAGTATCATCTTTCAGCTGATGCTTCTTCCAGACGTTGCGATAGCAAGGGCAGGGGCAGCATCTATGATCCCATTTTTGGAATTTCTTGCCATTTCTGCAGGTGCTTTGTGCTTTCACACATTCACGTTATTCCCACCAATCTCATTTGAGTAGAGGATAAATGGGCAGGAGGCCGATGTCCTTGGCACAATGGAGTTCATACTTCACCTTGTCTTAGTAGTCGTCTTATATTGTTAGATCGCTGAAAGGCCATTTTAATAATCACATGGAATTGTTGATGCTGGAACTTAGTCAACCTTTGATTAAGTACATGAGAAGTTACTGAGAAGGTTCATTAGTTCCTTTCTTTCTGACTTTGGAGCTGGACCATCGATAGCTTTAGCCGAAGAAGTAGAAGAAACAAGAATTGGAGCCAAAAGTTGCAATTCAAAATCCAGTACTCAATGACAAAAAAATTGTCCTCTTCCTTATATTTCTGCAAGATACAGCAAGGATTGGCTTTTATTTATCTGGTTTTGTTATTTTAATTGAAAAGTAATGCTGGAACAGATAATCTGTATCATCAGCTAATTTTCCATTTGATAGCGATTGATAAACCATTTTGTGGCTTCACTAATCCATCTCAGATGCTTCTGAAAAAATTCATGGGTGGTGGTTGTCATTATTTCCTTTTCTCTTTTGGCATGATGTGCACATTGTTTCCATGGTTATAGTGAATGTACCATGAAGTTCCTCTTGCAAATGGCGTAATTAAACAATGAAGCCATTATTCTATGATTGAGTGAAGAACTAGTTGCTAACAAAAGCTGCAAAAAGTGCAGGCAAAAGAAATTGTGCGGTGAAGAAGATTGCAAACGATGCGGTAATCTTGACATGGACGAACCATGTATAGGTCAGTTAGGACTTGATGCATTCTCAAAAGCCAAGAATTCCCATGGTTTGTAAGGTTTTCCATGTCTCGTGCAGGAAAGACGGATTGTTCAGTTTGCCATTCTGCCAACGGTGTTCTCTGCCGTGCTTGTCTCAAGGTTAGATATGGTGAGGGTAAGATGCTCTCCTATGGAAAGTCGATGGAAAAGAATCTGTAAAATCATGGCTATTAGCTTTTGTGTCTGAAAGGAACAATGTGTGAATAGATCCATGTTTTATTACTGCGATTATAAGGGAGATATTGGTTTCTTTTTGTTGGCTCTGCCAAAAGCTGGCAATTTCATGCACCGAGCTTTCCAACTGCTGCCAAGCATGCAAATCTTTTGCTAAATTCTCCCTATGTTGCAGAGATGGAGGAAGTAAGGGAAAACAAAGATTGGATGTGCCCTCACTGCGTTGAAGCAACTGGATCAAACCCATACTGGATATGTAATAGGTAAACTTTTATTGGTCATTCACTTGACAGTTTGGAATCTCTCGCCTACGAAATTTTGGGTTCTGCACATCTGTTACTTTCATTATGATTGACACTAAGTTCATCATCGCCTTCATGTTTCGGAAGTTCAATATGCTTGAAGAAGCGAAACAGGGCACCGACAGGAATTGCGGTATACAGAGGTACGGACAGCTGCTCTCCTCCTCATCGACGATCCTTTTTTGTGCTCTGTTAAGTCAGCCCTTATCTCTGAGTTCTCATGACGGAATTACCTTTTGCAATTGAAGCTCGGGATATGGGATACAAGTCCGTGGCGCATCTTCTAATGGATGAGCTCCAACGAGCCGCAAAGCGCAGGCGGTGATGGCGAGGGCGGGTATCGCCAAAGCAATGGATTCCCAGGTCGAAATGCGGAGAAAGACCAGCAACAGGAGAGGCCCGGCTACAACATCTCGGCAACGGCATTGTGTTTTGGATCACATACTAGACTTTCGACGAAAACAACTGCAGTTCTGCTAAGTGTGTCTTGCAGATTTCTTTTTCGTCCAAGTTAAGACAGCCGTTAGCACTGTTGTAAAACCACAGCTTCATTAAACCGTTGGGCATTTTCACCTTGATTTTGATTATTTTTTGGACACTATCTTCTCAGTCCCTTTCTCAATGCTCAAGTGAAATTTTGACGAAAGCCTATTATTATCAGCTCGAAGAAGACTGTCAATTTGTTGGCAATTCAATTTTTCTAAGAAATCTTTTTTTCGATTTGTGGGAAAATGGGGAAAGGGGGAATGTTTCTTTGTTCGCGAAATCAAATATCTTCTATATTTCTCAAAGGAAAAAGAATATGGCTCGAAATCAAAATCGGGATTGTCCAACTCAAAAGTCAACTTCTTTTTTTTTTATATAACCTCTTCGGAAATCGACCTTTCGGAATTGATGATTGTCGAATTGCAAATCAATAAATTATAAATGCGTAACGAAATTTCAGCTTTCCACCAAAAAAAAATTGATGATAATTTGCAATAACAATTCACAAGTTTTTTCCATGGTCAAACCGCAATCTACTTCTCCGCAGCAGCCATCCTTCAGCTGCCGATGTTTCTTCCCCTCCCGCTCGCGCTTCGGCTAGATCCGCCGCAGTGGCCCAATAGTTCCGCGACATGTGTACTAAGACAGGAGCCTGCCGCTTCATCAGCAGACACGTAGGTCCGTCAAATCACGGCTTACCATGGGCACGACTCCAGCCTATCACACCCTCCTCCGTCAAAATCAGTAAAGCTTGGAAATAAAAAAAAATGAAACCGGAAAAACAAGTCGTTTTATTCGACCGCTCCGGTTCAACCTGAGCCGGCTAGACCGAACACAATATATTATTCCGTGGCCTTACCTCGGTTTCTCTGAAAGGAGAACCACAGGTTATTTCCCATGTGTAACTAAAAATTTCCTTAAAAAACTGATTGTGTCTAAAACAGGCGAACCGATCGATAAAATTTCATAGCATGAAAATCATGGAGTCTCTTCTTCTTCTTTTTTTTTTTTTTTTTTTTTATAAAATGTGTCAACCTATTCGATAAAAGATTAAATCGATTCTCTTATAAATCCAAAAGCATATTATTCCATAAAAAAAATTAAACTCAAACAAACGTTTTTTTTTCAACAATTTTCTCACTTTTACTCAAACCTTCACCGTACATATCCATGTGCTTGCAATTTTCCCCACTTCATGATACCAAAATCCGACAAAAATCACACTATTAGATTTTCTCTTTTGGCTCGACAATATATATTCCGCACTCGTCTATTTTAGCAATATATATTTTGTTCATCTTTTTGTATAGGGTATGACAAGTGGAAAGTGTTGCTATATTAAAGTTACCAAAACATTTGGAAGCCCACAGTGTAAAGTAATAGTATTGCTCTCAAAAGCACATAAGCTTCGACTGGTTTAGACCATTTCAGAACCTTTCCATTTTAATACTTAGACAACAGTTTGAGCATCTGTGCTTGGTCCGGCACACCAGTATAATGCAAGAAATCAATTAAGAATCCTAATGAGAGAAACAACAAGAAAACATCGCATTACCAACTGACAAGCACAAAATATGAAGGTAATGTCCCCTTGAAGTGAGGTAACTTATAGTTGGTAAAGAGAAACACAATCTCGAAAACGCATTCTAAAACGCGGAAAACATGCTCATTCTATACTTGAATCACCGATCGAACGAAGCATATTACGTAAACGAACATACCTCTTTGCCACAGATTAAATGCCCCTATTGCAGAGAGAGATAGCGATCCTTCTTCGCTTTTTTTTAGTTTCAAGTGAGTGAGAGTTTTTACTTCTGGATTATGAAACAAATTCATACACACTTTAGGACATACGTGAGTTTTTCTCATCTCACTTTTGTTCCCACAAAATAACTGCCATTTGCGGTTATTTTCTTTCATGGGCTCTTTGAAGGTTAATGGGCTGGGTTTGGCCCAACATGGGCGGCCCATTTATTTACTAAAACCTATCATCTCCCACTCGCACATGGTGGGCTAAACATAACTCTCTCTTCTTCGCAATATTCATACTAGCAAATAATCCGTGCGACCAGCATACTTCGAGAGCTCGTTGCGATGCATCTGTTAGGAATACATAGCAGCTCAGATTGGGCATAACGTTTTCGAGTAGATATAGTATGCAGCACCCTAGATCAATCTGTCACATTTATAGCTCTTTTGATCTCTTTTAGTATCTCGTGTATTGTATTCACAACTATGATTTACTTAAAATCATAATTGGTCGACCTGTGAACACAAAAATAGAATGTGACATCATAAATAAATTGATCTTCCTCTTTCCTTAAACCTCTCTATTTCAGTCCAGCTCGCTTTTTTAGAAATGCCCCATTAGATCGAATCATTCATGACCATTGGCAACACCCTAAGATAGCGAACACTGAATAGAAACTTTGAGAATAAGTTAGAGTCGTGAGGGCACTAAATGAGGAACTCATATCCTCAAGAGTCTCACACGGCATAAAGTTAAGATCAAAAACTTTTGCCACTCTTATCGGTCGTCTCATGCATACGTAGTATGAAATACGTATTACGGTATTAACTCCTTTCCCATGGAGCGTATGTCTTTACATTCAATACCGTACAGATGATAGTTTAGACATACTCAATGTCTAAACTTGAGTTCACGTATCTACTCTTTTAAAGAATCCATTAGAACTCACATCTGGCATCAAAGACAGATAAAGTAAAATATGTGGGCTATTTTACTTTCGGACATAGTAAATGTTATGTCCTCATCTTAGCACTTAGCTAAGGGGACTTTATATTTTAAGCTTGAGCTCTCGATTATCACCTAGAATCCATTAGAACTCACATCTGGCATCAAAGACAGATAAAGTAAAATATGTGGGCTATTTTACTTTCGGACATAGTAAATATTATGTCCTCATCTTAGCACTTAGCTAAGGGGACTTTATATTTTAAGCTTGAGCTCTCGATTATCACCTAGATAATTAGCTTAAAAATTGTCTCATCTCTACTTATCACACAGTAAATAGAGGCGATTACTCGTGTGAGTGTGTTAATCTTATCTGTCCGACATACTTTCTTGACATAATACACTAAGTATTAAGATGCATAAATAAAAAATTCATAGGCATTAACAATGATATAACAATTTCATTTAAATGTGAACATTAAGGGAAATTACAATATTCTGTACATCAGCATCTACGCAGTCCTAGAGATTTTACATGACCGTTGAAAACATCTCTAGGAATTGGCTTCGTCATAGGATCTGCGATCATTCTATGCGTAGATATGTACTGCAAGTTCACATCTTTTCGTGCTACCATATCTTTAACAAAATTGTACTTGGTATCTATATGTTTGGTCTTGCCATGATATTTCGGATCCTTGGTGTATGCTATCGCTGCTTGGCTATCACAATTGACTAACAATGAGCTTGCAGCATGCTCAACAACACCTAAATGATCCAAAAATCTCTTAAGCCAAACTCCCTCTTGTACTGCTGCTGACAATGCCACGAACTCGGCTTCCATGGTGGATAATGCTATACATGTTTGTTTCTTACTGATCCAAGATATGACGCCATTATTCAGTAAGAATGCAAATCCAAAGGTAGATTTCCTTTCATCTAAATCTCCTCCCCAGTCAGCATCTGAGTAGCCTTCAAGTCGCAGATCCTTTCCTTGATAACTCAGAGAATAATCAGCAGTACCCTTTAGATACCTCATGATTTTTTTGACGGCTTTCCAATGTGCTTGACCTGGATTGGATTGGTATCTACTTACCATTCCAACTGCAAAACATATGTCAGGTCTTGTACACATCATAACGTACATTAAAGTCCCAACAGCACTAGCATAAGGAACACATTTCATTTGTTCCTTCTCTTGTGGAGTCTTAGGACACAACCTACGGCTCAATCCTTCACCTTTTGCAATAGGAGTGTCAATGGGTTTGCAATCTTGCATATGAAATCGTTCAAGAACCTTGTTTATATACGTCTCTTGCGAAAGAGACAATAATCTCTTGGAACGATCTCTTGAAATCTTAACTCCAAGAATATATGCAGCTTCACCTATATCTTTCATCTCAAAATTGGACGATAACCAACTCTTAACAGTATTAACCAACTCCTTATTGCTTCCGGCAATCAGTATATCATCAACATATAATGATAAAAATCACAAATTGATCTTTGGATCCTTTGATATATACACAATGATCTTCATCAATCATTGTAAAATCATAGGTCACTATGGCATTATGAAAACGTGTATACCATTGTCTTGAAGACTGCTTAAGGCCATATATCGATCTCAAAAGTTGACATACTTTTGGTTCTTGGCCTTTCACAATGAAGCCAACAGGTTGCTCCATGTAAATTTCTTCTTCTAATTCTCTATTTAGAAAAGCAGTCTTTACATCCATTTGATGTAATTCAAGATCCATACTTGCCACTATTGCCAAAATAAGGCGAATTGAGGTAAATCTCACTACAGGAGAAAAAGTTTCTTCATAATCAATTCCTTCCTGTTGATTATACCCTTTCGCCACGAGGCGAGCTTTATATCTTTCTATTGAGCCATCGGATTTACGTTTTATTTTGAGAACCCATTTGTTCCCAATAGCTTTGCGTCCTTTCGGAAGATCAACCAATTCCCAAACTTGATTGGATTTCATTGACTCCATTTCTTCTTCCATTGCATCTATCCATTTTTCCTTATTAGGGCAATTTAGAGTCTCATTTACATTCCTTGGCTCATCTTCATCTTGTGGAGCGACCATGAAAGTTTCCCTTTCGATGTCAAAACGTCGTCGGGGAACACTTTTGCGACTTGTTCGCCGTACGGGAGATTGTACACGTGGTACATCATTCTCCATTACGCTCCCACTTGGATTAGATAATGACGGTATCGTCTCACCAAACGATTGCAATTGAGATTGAGTCAAATTTAATTCCTCATTTCTCACATTGCTCCCACTTGGACGATCTTCATCAATTTCATTATCATGATCCAAGGTTTCAAAAAGTGAGTAGTCCTCACCTATTTCACCCTTCTTAGGAAACTCATTCTCTAAGAATGTGACATTTCGTGATTCAAATTCAGTAATACTCCCACTTTCTTACTCACCTATAAACACATACCCTTTCGAGTGCTATGAGTATCTAATAAAAATACTCTTCTTGCCTCTAGGACCCAGTTTCCCATACTTGTGAGAGGGCTCGTGAGTATAAGCAGCACAACCCCAAGGTTTAAGAAAACTTAAATCGGGTTTTCTACCTGTCCATAACTCATACGGAGTGGAAGTAACTGATTTAGAAGGCACACGGTTAAGTACATAGGCAGCAGTTAACAAAACATCACCCCAAAAGGTGATAGGTAAGTTAGCTTGTGCCATCATAGACCTAACCATTTCCAATAGGGTTCTGTTTCTCCTCTCGGCAACACCATTTTGTTGAGGAGTATATGGAATAGCCAACTGTCTTTCTATTCCTTTTTCATCACATAAATTTCTGAACTCATCAGATAAATATTCTCGACCTCGATCGGATCTAAACGTTTTTATTTTCTTATCTAATTGATTTTCTACTAAGGTCATAAATTTCTTGAAGCAACTCAATGCCTCAGATTTATGAGAAATCAAATAGACATATCCAAATCGAGTACAATCATCTATGAATGTGATGAAATACACAGCCCCATGCCTTGCTCTTACATTCATTGGACCACAGATATCAGAATGGATTAGTTGCAAAGGAAACTCAGCTCTTGTACCCTTTCCGAATGATTTCTTTGTTGTTTTTCCCGTCAGGCAATGCTCGCAAATAGGCAAATCAACTTTTTCAATATTGCCTAATAAGCCCTCTTTGGCTAATCTTTGCATTCGTTGTTGGCCAATATGACCAAGTCTAGCATGCCACACATTCACATCATTTTCATAGGAGTTGGAAGATGTAAATAGGGAATAACAAACGTTAACATCACCACAGTCAACATCTAGTACAATAAAACCATTCAGAAAGTATCCACAACCATAGTAATTCGTATTCAGATACAAATCAACACCACTATTATGGAAGTTCAAATTAAAATCAAGTTTAACCAACACTAACACAGACACTAAATTCCGACGAATCTCCGGAGCATATAATACGTCATGTAGGAACAATGTGCGTCCACCACGCATCATCAACTGGCAGGTGCCAATTCCTTTAACTTCAGCTTTGGAGTTGTTCCCTACATAGATCCATTTCGTTCAGGTCGGAACCCGTCGGAACTCCACGAAGGCATCTCTGTCCTTCGCTACATGGTCTGTTGCTCCCGAATCTACAGTCCACAAAGGATTAGACTCAGTTAAAAATACAGAACTTGACACATAGGCAAAGTTCTCAAGAATGCAAGGGGAGTTTACCTTCTTTGGCTCGCCGCAATCGCGAGCGAAGTGGCCCTTCTTGCTACAGTTGTAGCATTTCACCATCGACATCTTCTTAACAAAAGAACGCTTTCCTTTGTCATGTTGATTAAATTTTGGTTTCTTACCCGAAGAACTTGCTCCCTTGCCTTTCCACTTCATGAACCTTTTGACGCGCTTGCGCTTGGAGCCCGAAGCCCCATGTGAGCTAGAACCAGCATAATAGATGTCGGTTTCTGGTTTCGCCGCCATGAGGCGATCCTCTTCTAACTCAAGATGGCGCATGGCATCTTCAAAGGTCTTGATGTTCTCATTATGGGTCAGGTGCACCTTCATGTGCTCCCAGCTTTGAGGCAAGGAACGGATCACTGCTTGCACTTGCTGTTCATCAGTCAGAATGTGTCCAGTATCCTTCAGCTCAACAATCATGTTCGACATCTTTCTCAGGTGTTGTTTCATGGACTGACCATGAGGTTTTTTATACGAGTCAAATCTTATAGTGAGCTGTCTCAGCTTGGTCACCGACGTATGACCAAATCTTGCTGCTAATGCTTCCCACATTTCCTTGGCATTCTCAAAACTCCTGAACTCTCGCATGATATCATTCTCCATGCTACTCAGCAACGCGATGCGAGCAAGCGAGTTCTTCATCTTCCATACAGCAAATGCATCTCTGTCTCTCTTATGCTGTGCAGTGTTCCCATCCTCAGGTTCTTCCATAAGTTGGTTAAGAGCTTCTAGTGCTTCTTGTTCTTCTAGCACATATTGGATTTTCATGTTCCATATTTCATAATTTTCGCCGTTCAATTTCTCTCCTTTGTTCAATTCAGCCACTATGTTCTTAGTTGCTGAAGCCATGGTATCTGAACATTTCAGACATATAGCACGAATTATTAATGCCACTCATTTATGCATCAGTTTTACACAAACTGATTATATTAATGAGTAATTCACATAGTTTTTAGATTCGAAAGTTCACTATGTTCCCAATCATCATCTAAAAATCCTAATGTGAAATTATCGTTAATATAATCATTAAGGTAAAATTACGTTCTTTAAAGTTACTAAAACTTTTAGAACTCCCACTCAACCATATAATATTAATAAGACAAATATTATAATAGAATAGTACCATAAACTATTCATAACAGAAAATATCCATCAACATCTATTCATTAAAAACTATTTACATAAGGAACCAATCCAGCATAGGAAAGAAAACATCAACATCAACATGAACAGTAATATCCACCTAGGATATCTAAAACCAAAACTAAGATAAAATAAAGCCAACGATTCCTAATTTTCTTAAGAACTGGGAAAAGACTTAAGAAATTCCTCATTGTCAAAACCCTTTGAAAGATCGATGGTCGTATCGGGCAGCCATGAAAAGACCGTTGGAAATCCCTTGGGTTTTCCCCATGGCGCATTCATTCTGCGCCAGGATGAGTTCATCCTAAGGGTCGACGTCTTTTTCGCCCCAATCCTTATGAATTCCTTAAGAAAATCCACAGCAAGCTTTTTGTATTCTGGAATCCATAGATCACCCCCGTCATCCCATCCACCATCCTCATAAAATATTATCTCCGGACCCTTCCACAAATCATCAATCAGCATTTTCCACTCATATGGAAGAGTGGTTCTTAGGGCATCAATCTTTTCTGAATCCAACATATGGTATCCATTCGAGATGATAGCCCGCATCATCTTGTTAACCTTCATGATGTGCATTTCCATGTGGCATCCATCCCACCGATAGGTAGCTAAATCAGTTTTCAACTTCGCGAGTGTATTCATTTGTTCATCCACCTCACGACTATCGGTGTGTGTCAATGGCGCGCCTTTGTTCTTGCAACAAATGCAGAACAATAAAGGATTAACACATAATCCATTGAACATCACAATAGACATTCCAGTATGCACATATTGTTGCCAAGAACGCTCCAGTTAGAGCTCCCACGAGACTATTCAACCTGACAGAAACTTTTTTTTTTCTTGGGGTCAGCGCCGGTCAACGGTCAACGATGGTCAACGACTGTCAACGGTCAACGGATGACCGGGTCAGGTCAACGGGTCAGCAGGATAGGGTCACGGGTCATAAACCAGGTCGGATCGGGTTAGGCCTGTCGGGCCGGGCCTTTCGGCCCAGAAGAAATAACCGGCGTAGCTGACGTCAGCGTGACGTTAGCCACGTCCACACGCACACGCATGGCGCGTGCATCGCACATGTGCGTGGCAACCGCTGGGCACGTGCGACGCACGTGCCGGCGAAGCCGCCACTCGCGGCGGCGCGTGGAGGCGCGTCCGGCCTCCCCCGGCGGCGTGCCACCCGTCATTTTGCTCGTCTCGACGAGCAATACGACCCTATGCCTTCAAAAATAAAATTTATCGCACGGAATTTCGAGAAACGATCCCCAACAGTACGGTCGGGTGTCAGTTTTCATACCCGAGCGTTCGTCGGCGCCGTTTCACGAATTCCGGCCATCAATCCGTGTTATAAGCATATTAAACGATCAGGAAACAAGAACACATGCTCTGATACCAATGAAGAGAAACACAATCTCGAAAACGCATTCTAAAACGCGGAAAACGTGCCCACTCTATACTTGAATCACCGATCGAACGAAGCATATTACGTAAACGAACATACCTCTTTGCCACAAATTAAATGCCCCTATTGCAGAGAGAGATAGCGATCATTCTTTGCTTTTTTTTAGTTTCAAGTGAGTGAGAGTTTTTACTTCTGGATTATGAAACAAATTCATACACACTTTAGGGCATACGTGAGTTTTTCTCATCTCACTTTTGTTCCCACAAAATAACTGCCATTTGCGGTTATTTTCTTTCATGGGCTCTTTTAAGGTTAATGGGCTGGGTTTGGCCCAACATGGGCGGCCCATTTATTTACTAAAACCCATCAGTTGGCGAGAAAAACCTGCAATTGAATGATTCAGAAAATCTTCAATATAGCGTGAAACATCATTTCATTATTTAACAGATAAATTTATGAGCAGTTTTGCCATTTAAACATGTTGGATTGCCGGACAACTATAGTGTAGGCTTGAGAAGGGAAGAAATAGACCTTGGCAATAGTAATCTCATAAAACCCATGAATACCTTGAACAATAAATGGAAAATGTGTATGACATTTTTCCTTCCCTTATTCTCCTTCTCTTGTCCCTCTTCTTCCACAACCAAACTCAGTCTCACCGTGTCTTCTTCTTTCTTCTACGTGAACGAACGGAGTCCGAGAAAAAACAGCCCAAAAGCAAATAAGAATGACAAGAAGGGAGAGAAGCTTTTCATTTTTCAACACCCGTGGCCCTTGCACAATGGCGTTTAAAGCAACGTTGCTTTATCTCGAACGGTCATGTGGATATTTTGCGCATTTACTCTCACCGATTGACGTTGTTTGCACAACAAACTAATCCAAAGAGTAAGATGTTGGTACTTACCTGCAAAACATCAAAGACATGGAGATAAAATACAGCACAGTACATCACATCCAAGACAAAAATATAACAATCATTCAACATTTGGCAGCTGGATTATAATCTCGCAGAGCGATGATATCATATCAAACTAACAAAATTGTCCATAATAAAGTGACAAGAACTATCATTTGAAGTGCTGAACCGAGAGAACAACTAGTAAGTATAGAGTCAAAGAGTTAAGAAGCCGAATTCCAAAGGTTGAACTGTTTTATAACGATAGTCTTTCAGACCATAGCTCATGATAGTGAAAATATAAAGGTAAGGCATAGCAAGGGAAAGAAAACATACAAGTTCCCAGGCATCGATACCTCTTGGTGCCGTCTCTTGAAGGAGATTCCTGTCCACACCAGAATGCCACGAAAAGAAGAATAAGGTTACTTATAAACAATTTAGGTACGCCATAGTTAAAGAATTGCGGCTGGAACAGATCAATCCCCTCATTAGTAGTGGATAAACCAATGTCATGTGACAAGGTGAGTGATAAGCCACTGACCATGTTTGATTCACAAAGTGCATTAAGAAAAGCAGAGAGAGAGAGAGAGAGAGAGAGAGAGAGAGAGAGAGAGAGAGAGAGAGAGAGAGAGAGAGAGAGAGAGAGAGAGAGAGAGAGAGAGAGAGAGAGAGATTATACAGTGCATTAGTACAGTTGAATGCTAATCATATTAAAGATACCTCACATGCATAAAGGACATCACTGGAAAATATATAAGATGCAACAGATAGGGAAAGACAGTAGCTGAGACGTTTCACTAACCGAACCCCATAATGCACATCACGATGGTTGCAATGGCCTGAAACACCATAATCATCAAAAGTGATAACCTGAGAAGCCCATTTGATGAGTATCATCCTACGAGCAAGGTCACTCACTATGTTACTAGAGCAGCTAGAGTTCTCAATTTGACATAGTGGATAAAGATACTCAATGCATACACCACAAATGAAGAAATTTCATGACTGCTAGCATAAATTACCAAAGGCGAATATGGAAACAGGGGCGGAGAGCATCTGACTTCAGAAAGATTAATTAAAGTGCCTAATTTCAGTCAATATCTTACCGCATGAATGCCACGAGCAAGGGCTTCCTGTTCTATGATCTTGGATAATAAGTTACGATTCCATTTGTTGCCAAAACCATCCTGGTGATAATAGATAAAGTTAAAGATAACTCAAGCCGACATTTCTAATGACATGAAGATAGACAATAATAGACTTCACTATCAGATGGTACCTGCAAATCTGGATGGTCCACGACTTTAACTTGTTGGCGTGGCATCTTCATACAAGATTCCACATTAGACAATTCAAAATGTGGACAAAATGATGGACGAGTTCTGAAAATCACCCCGAGAGTCACACAAGCTTGGTAGAGCTCTTCTTTTCTCACATTTCCTTTGCCATCAGCATCACCTTAAAAGCAAATGAAGAAGCTAAGCAAGAGAAGCAAGTGCACAACAGATCAGAGAGTAAAGAATACAACTTTTCTAAGAAGATCCTTGACAGAAAGGCGACATGAGACGATGTGCTAGAAATTCCTTCCGCTCCCAAGTTATCACGTGATGAGATGACACAAAACGACATTACCGAAACAATTACCAAAACATTTGGAAGCCCGCAGAGTGATGCATGGAATTATATTCCGATAACTTCTTCTTTGCTAAGATCATACTAGTATTGCTCTCAGAAGCACATAAGCTTCAACTACAGCTCATGGTTTAGACCATTTCGGAACCTTTCCATTTTAATACTCAGACAACAGCGAGAGCATCTGTGCTGGTCCGGCACACCAGTATAATGTGTTAAAGGGTAGTTTAGTCTTTTCATTGTTAGTGAGCCCTAATACTCGCACTATATGTATTGATGTAATCCGTAATTATAAAATAGATTGAACTTTTTCCTTTTCACATGGTATCAAAGCGGGTTTTTAACCCTAGTTGAAGAAGCGACGACTCGCCGCCATCGACCCCTTGCCGGAATAGCTTGCCCGTCTCTTCCTCTCGTGCATCGCCTCTCGCGCGGGTCGCGCACCCTCTTTGCGCGAGTCCCGCCTCACGCTAGGTCGCATCAAAACCGTCGTACTTGATATGCACATCCAATGGTAAAGTTCTCTTTCTTGCATTAGAGTGTATTGTTTGTGTTAATTGTGATCCAAGGCCGTAGGAATTGACTTGGTAGTCAATGGGGAGAGAGAGCAGATTCTGAATTGAAGCTGATTTTGGAAATTGGAGAAGGAATCGAAGTTGCTTTTGGGAAAATAGGCAGATTTCGAATTCTCGAGGAAAATTCATGGGCGTTGTTGTCTTCTGCTATTCGTCGGGAATTCTCGAGGCAAATTCATTGGCATTGTTCCGTTCTGTTGGTGGAGTTCTGTTCAGTTGTTTTTAGATTAAATGGGAAACTTCGTGATTTTGGGAAAAGAGTCAGACAAGGGTTGTCACTAGACCCCGAAATACACGCACTAACCTTTAAATCTCTCTGGCCCTTCGAACATCGACATGCTATCAAGCTCTTTCTTTGTCCTGAGTGAATATGGTGCAGACGTGCAACAGTCGGCTAGGATCTCTTCCTGACATGCATCTGCGAATTTGATGGTCTGGTGTATTAGTGCCCCACTCATGCACAGCCACATATATATGATAGTGTTTTCAATTTTCCACTAAATTTTCGCATGGCTAGAAACCCTAAATCAAGTATGAGTATGGATACCGGTCTTACTAATCTGAAGTTGAGTTCTGTCAAGCTAGATGGGACCAATTACCCTTCTTGGTCTATGGCGGTTGAGACGTATTTGTTGGCTACCAAGCAGTTAAGTTATCTGACTTCACCTCCACCTTCGGATAAAGCAAAGCTGGATGATTGGCGCTCTGGCGATGCTGCCATTCGGACATTGTTGTGGAATACTATGGATTCCAAGATTAGTCCTCAGTTTATGCGGTGTACATCAGCCAAAGCCATTTGGGACAAGTGTGCTCTTATGTTTTCAGGAAGAGATAACATGACCCGTGTTTGTAATGTTTGGGAAGAGTTATTTGATCTACGTGCAGGAGATATGTCTATATCTGATTACTATTCTAGGTTTGCCACTCTTTGCGAGAGACTGGACACTTATTTGCCTGCTACCGATGACGTTAGAGAGTTGGCCAAGCGTCAGGAAGATATGAGAGTTATGTTATTTCTCCGAGGGCTTGGTCCTACTCATTCTTCTCTCCGACAGCAGGTTACTTCTCAGAGTACTCTTCCATCAGTTGATGAGGTCTTTTCTCGGGTCCTTCGATACATGCCTACTTCATCATCTGCACTCTATTCTGCACCAGTAGCAAATGCTATGGTTTCTCAGTTGTCTGGTGGTCGTGGAGGCCGAGGGCGTGGTCCTCGTGGTCATGGTAGATCTGGTTTTTCTCCTGGTCGTGGCCGAGATGGTGGTAGGAGTACTGGAAGTTCACGTTATTGCAACCATTGTCAACGAGCTGGCCATACTGAGAATTATTGCTACACTCTACATCCCGAACTTCGTCCACAGGCTGCTTATGCTGATGTAGGTGAGTCTCCAGTGCAGAAGGTTCCTGATCAGTCACGAGAACTGCCTAACACCATTATGTTGTCTCGTGCTAAGTATGAGTCCTTAGTACGTTCCCACCAGGTGGAGAATTCCTCAGCTCCTACTGCTACTTTGGCACAGACTTCTTCAGGTAGTTTGTCTTGTTTACTCTCTTCTGCGCCCACTTCATGGGTCGTAGCCTCAGGTGCTACAAATCATATGACCGGTAATTCTAACTTATTATCTGGTATCACCTCTATGTCACTTAGTTCTGTTACACTTGCCGATGGTTCACAATCCCACATTACTGGCCAAGGGAATGTAACCTTGGGTCCCTCTCTTTCTCTTTCATCTGTTTACCATTTACCAACTTTTCCATATAACTTGCTTTCCGTTAGTTCCCTTACCAAAGATTTGAATTGCTCTGTGACATTTACCTCCACTGGTTGTGTCTTTCAGGATCTGAGGACCGGACGGATGATTGGTGGAGGGCATGAGTCCAATGGGCTGTACTACCTAAACAAAGATCTTATTGCTGCTGCCGTCCAAAAGAGTACCACTATTCAGAAGAGTACCGCCTCTGACTTCTTTAAGATGCATTGTTGTATGGATCATCCACCGCCTGACATACTTCGTCATTTTTCTAATGTTTCATCGTTTAGGAGTCCTATCCAGTGTGATGCTTGTCAATTTGGCAAACATCATCGAGTATCTTTCCCTTCCCGTGTCCAGAGTCGTGTGTCAAGTTCTTTTGAGTTGGTCCATTATGATGTTTGGGGACCATGTCGTGTCAGTGATATATCTGGTTATAAGTATTTTGTTACTTTCGTAGATGATTATTCTCGTGTAACATCGTTATATTTAATAAAAGATCGAACTAAAGTTTTTTCTAGTTTTCGTATGTTTTACTTTGAAATTCTCAATCAGTATCATGTTTCTGTTAAATGTTTGCGCTCCGATAATGCCAAAGAATATATGGCTGTTTCCTCTGGTTTTCAACCATTTCTTACATCTCATGGAATTCTGCATCAGACCTCTTGTCCCTATACTCCCCAGCAGAATGGGGTGGTAGAACGAAAAAATCGCCATCTCTTGGATGTTGCTCGCTGTCTACTTTTTCATATGAACCTCCCAAAAATGTTCCGGGGGCATGCTATTCTTACATCATGCTATCTCATAAATCGTCTCCCATCCTCTGTTCTTCGTGGAGGGATACCTTTCTCTACTCTCCATCTTGTGAGTCCACTTTTTTCTTTACCGCTGCGTGTGTTTGGTTGTGTTTGCTTTGTGCATCATCTTGCTCCTGGTCATGATAAGCTCGATCCACGGGCTGACAAGTGTGTATTTCTTGGGTACTCTTGAACTCAGAAAGGGTACAAGTGTTATAATCCGGTTAGTCGGCGGTTGTATGTCTCGGCAGATGTAACCTTTTTCGAGGATCAATCATATTACTCTTCTTCTACTCAACCGGTGTCTCCTTATGAAGATACATTGTCCTCGGACATAGTCCCCCTACCACCTATCCCCTTGTCTAGCATACCTAGAACGTCGCCAGATTTTCAGTTTGCCGACAAAACTTATCAACGGCGTCGTACTGTTCAACGTGAGGTAGCACAGTCATCGCCTACATTGGATATGCATGATTCTCCACCAATTTATGCCTCGGCCTCTGATCCACCAGTTTCTTCTGAGCCTAATCCTACTACTGATATTCCTATTGCATTGCGCAAAGGTACGCGTTCTTGTGTTGGTCAACCTAATTCCCGGTTTGCCCCCTATACTGGTTTGTCTTGTCATACACATACTCGTCACCCTCTTTCTCAGGTTTTATCCTACGATTATCTTTCTCCTACATATTCCTCTTTTGTTACTTCTTTATCTGAAGTGTCTGTGCCAAGTACTGTTGCAGAGGCTCTTGCTCATCCAGGTTGGCGGCGGGCTATGGAGGATGAAATGCAAGCGCTACAGCATAATGGGACATGGCATCTTACACCGTTACCTGCTGGCAAACAGGTTGTAGGGTGTCGTTGGATTTTCACAGTGAAGTTTCAACCGGATGGTTCTATTGAGCGTCTGAAGGCACGTTTGGTTGCCAAAGGTTACACTCAGACTTATGGAATTGATTATGATGACACGTTTTCTCCTGTTGCAAAGATACCTTCTGTTCGTGTTTCATTTCTCTTGCTGTCCGATATGGCTGGACTCTCCATCAGCTTGATGTCAAGAATGCCTTTCTTCATGGCGACTTGGCAGAGGAGGTATATATGGAGCAACCTCCAGGGTTTGTTGCTCAGGGGGAGTCTACTAGTGTTTGTCGCCTACGCAAGGCATTATATGGGTTGAAACAGTCTCCTCGTGCTTGGTTTGGTCGTTTCAGTGATGCAGTTATTCGGTTTGGTTTGCGGCGTTGCACTGTGGATCATTCTGTGTTTAGTTCCACTTCTTCTGCGGTGTGTGTTCTCCTAGTTGTGTATGTGGACGATATTATCATCACCGGTAGTGATTCTCTAGGCATACAAAAGTTGAAATAGTTTTTACAGGCAGAGTTCAATACAAAAGATATGGGTTGTCTACGGTATTTCTTGGGCATTGAGGTAGCCTACTCACGTGATGGTATCTCATTATCACAGCGAAAATATGTTCTGGATATCCTCAGTGAGGTTGGTTTTCTGGGAGCTAAGCCTGTCGATACTCCAATGGATCCTAATGTGAAACTTGATGCAGAACACGGGGACCTTCTTCATGACCCCAGTAGGTATCGAAGGTTAGTGGGTAAGCTCAACTATTTAACTGTCACTCGACCAGATATTTCTTTTGCCGTTAGCGTGATTAATCAATTTATGAGTGCTCCTCGTACTACACATTGGGAGGCAGTACTACGTGTTGTTAAGTACTTAAAGGGAGCACCAGGTAAAGGGATCCTGTTCAAGAATCATGGACATCTTAGTGTTACTGGCTACTCTGATGCTGATTGGGCCGGATGTCCTACTGATAGGCGATCAACTTCTGGCTATTGTGTGTTCTTGGGAGGCAATCTTGTGAGTTGGAAAAGTAAGAAGCAACAGGTAGTGTCTCGATCAAGTGCAGAGGCAGAATATCGGGCCATGGCTCATGTAACTAGTGAGTTGCTTTGGTTGAGGATGTTGTTATCCGAACTTCGCATGCCATCTTCAACTTCCTCAATTCTGTGTTGTGATAATCAATCTGCTATGCATATCGCTTCAAATCCAGTTTTTCATGAGCGCACGAAGCACATCGAAGTGGATTGCCATTTTGTGCGATAAAAGATTCAGAACAAGGACATAACACTTCAATACACACAGACTGAAGACCAACTTGCTGATCTTTTCACTAAGTCATTGCGGGGTAGTAGAGTGACCACTTTATGTAACAAGTTGGGGCTCTTTGATATTTATGCCTCAACTTGAGGGGGAGTGTTAAAGGGTAGTTTAGTCTTTTCATTGTTAGTGAGCCCTAATACTCGCACTATATATATTGATGTAATCCGTAATTATAAAATAGATTGAACTTTTTCCTTTTCACATAATGCAAGAAATCAATTAAGAAGAATCCTCATGAGATGAACACGAAGAGAATATCACATTACCAACTGACGAGCATAAAATACGAAGGTAATGTCCCCTTGAAGTGAGGTAACTTATAGATGGCGAGAATGACCCAGAAAATCTTCAATACAGTGTGAAAAATCAAGGCATCGGTACCTGACAGCGACTAAGGAAGCGGATGACACTATCTTCGACTTTCGCATCAAACAGATTCACCCAGCAAAAAGCAAGAGAATGTATGATCCGGTAACAGAGCCACGGGGCGACTGCAAAGGATTCCATTAACATTAAGAAGTAATCCAGCTCAGAGCTAGCAAATTGGCATCGAAATTAGTAAACCCAACAAGAGCTAAACACAAGCACATCCCACTCAACAAGAAAGGGGCTCCTTCGTTTCGTTCCAGGACTTCTGGCAAAGCCGAAGCAGAAGGAGCCACTCCGACGAGACAGCAATCACGACAGAAAAAATGCCCAAAAATTCGAAACACGAGGGGCCGACCCTCCCAATCAAACTACCAAGTTTTACCAGCTCCAACAACTCCGGATCCTCAGACACCACAGGCGAAGTGGGACGCACAAAAAACAACACCCCTCTCTCTCTCTTTCTCTTTCCTCTCTCACCTTCTCCTTCCTTCCTCGAACTCCTCCCTCCCGAAGCCATGCGACGGTGTTCCCATCCCAACTGCGGGATGGTCTTCACCGTGAATGGGCTTGCCGATCATAAAAAGGACCGTCCACCGCAAGAGCAAGGAGAAATCTGGCCATCGCGGCTCTGCCTTCCGATCTAAGGCGGAGCTTGAGGCATCGCTCGGTCCTTGGACACCGCAGGAGGCGAAGTGGGACGGACGGTGGCCGTCGACGGAGCATGCGAGTCAACGGAGGCCGTGGGTCAGGTCAAGCACTCGACTCGACGTGCCGATCCCCGGTGGAGAATCTCCTCCTCCTCTACCCCTCTCTCTCTCTCCCTCTCTCTGCGCTCACGCCCGGGGATTATAAAAACCCATTTCTCTTTTCTTTTTCTTTTTTCTCCATTTTCGCTTTTCGAAATCCCGCCACTTTCCCTCCTCCTCCTCCTCCCCCACGCCTCGGACTATAAATACCACGACGCGCAAAAACAAACACCCTCCCTCCCTCTCTCTCTCTCTCTCTCTCTCTCTCTCTCTCTCTCTCTCTCTCTCTCTCTCCTTTCTCCTCATCCCTTCCACCCTCTCCTTCCTTCCTCCTACTCCTCCCTCCCGAAGGAAGCCATGCAGCGGTGTCACCATCCTAACTGTGGGAAGCTCTTCACCGTGAATGGGCTTGTCGTTCATAACAAGGATGTCCACCGCAGGAGCAGCGAGAAGTGCCGCCTCTGCGGCTCCGCCTTCGACCGGAAGGCGGAGCTCGAGGAGCACAGCTCCCTCCACGGCCGGAACTGCAAAGGAACCGCCAAAACCAGAACATTGACGATCAACGAAGCTGCAGCGGCGGAGGCGACCGCGGAGGAAGCCGCAGCGGCGCAGCAGCCGCACGAGTAGCTGCATGAGGCCGCCACCGCCTTGAGTATGTTTTCCTCTTTTCTCTCTGTTTGTGCGGCTGTGGCGGCGACCACGGCGGCGGACATACGTCCGATTTTCTCTTCAGCTTACATGATGTTGTTTTTCCGTTCCTGTTCCGATTGTGTGTGTGAATAAGGGTGGATGTGACTGCGGAAGCCACGGCAGCGAAGCAGCAGCGACCTTGAGGATCTATTTCCTCTTTTCTCTCTGTTTGTGCTGCGGCGGCAGAAACCACGGCAGCGGACATATGTCCGATTTTCTTCGTTGTCTTTCTGTTCCTTTTCCGAAATAAGGATAGCCGGCGATTCTAGGTTGTCGTTTCTTTTCATGTCTTTTCCTACGGTCGGTGTATCTTCGAATCCTTGGGACACTCCGTTCTTCTCAAAGCCAGACTTGGCAAGTGCACTCTTCAAGAAAGCGCCTGAGATAGAAGCAGATCATGAACATGTGGCTTTGCATCTGAATGTTGAATAGCTTGCTTGACCAATACTTAGCTCACCAGTTTTTCTTCTCCAACCTGCCACTGACAATAGAAGTGGCATCATTGTACCTAGGGGTGATCGGTTCCAGGGTGGGTAGGGTCCAGACCTGGAACCTGGAACCTACCCTGTTACAATCGGTTCCCAGTTTTTGGAATCTGGAACCTACCCTGTTTTCCCTAGACCCTGTTTTGGAACCTACCCTGTTTTTCCGGTCCGATTCCAGGGTCTACTCGATAACCTGTTTTTTTTTTTCTCTGGTTTCAGAAATTTGGAGCAAAATAAACAATCCACAAGCACCTTCTTCCTAAACACCAAAATCCCAACCCATCCCCTCGGAAACTTCTCGAAGTAAAAGAGCGGCTTTGATGAAGGACACGATAGGCAGTGACAACAGATCTAAAGATCCATGTTGTCCCTCTCCAATCCTGCAAATCATCCTCACCAGCCAGGCTATTCAAACACAAGGCTTGGTTAATCAAAGAAGGGGCCTGGTCTAAGGTCATCTCAACTACTTTTTTGGCAAAGGGGAAGATGGGAACATCAGCCACCGTTGCCGATTCACTTCGAGAACAGAACCAGAGCACAAGATTTCAAGCGGCGGCAAATAATCCAAGGTCTGGGGTCACTGAAACTCGAACTTAGGCAATGGGAGAGTATCGAAATACAATATGCGATATGCACATAACATTCTATTCCTTTCCCTTTTTGAGCTCTTTCATGACACTTCCTCGTCACAAGCGATTCGATCGTTCTCGTCTCTTTTCCACATCAATTCGCCCTCACACAGAAATCGCGCGCTCTAAAAACAACAGTAGTAGTGGGAGCGGGATCGGGGGGGGGGGGGGGGGACCGTGAGCTGACCTTCGCGGCGGCGTAAGGGTTGGACGAGCTGGGTTACGGCGACTGAGATGGCGAGCAGCCGCAGCGACGAGCGGCGATGAGGGGCGACAAGCTGGGTTCCGGCAACGAGCGGCATTACGGCGACTCAGGCAGCGAGTAGCTATGGCGACGAGTTGGGTTGCGGCGAGCAGCCGCGGCGACGAGATGCTACGAGCTGGGTTGAGGCGAGCAGCTGCGACGACGAGCTGGGTTGCAGCGACGAGAGGCGATGAGCAGCCGCGGTGATGAGAGGCGAGCAGTCGCAGCGACGAGTTCTCGCGAGCAGACTGAGAAGGGCCAGAAGAAAGGGGACTCGCAAACTGGAAGAGGAGGGAGCGATTGAGAGTAACAAATGCTAGGGTTTTTTTACAGTAACTTACAACCGGTTCTAAAACCGGTCCGGGTGGGTTTTGACTTAGACCCGGGAACCGGACCGGTTCCAACCGGTTCCGAAAAAATAGAACCGTTTCCCGGACCGGTTCAAACAGGAACTGGTTCCCGGACTTGTTTTTCGGGTGGGCCGGTTCGGCTCCCGGGTAAACCCGGTCCGGTTGCACACCCCTAAATTTGTACCTATCATCCCAAGTACTTGGCATTTGTCTCTCCTCTTCGAAGACTGTTTCGTTTCAGATTATCAATAGAAAAAGGAACTCTATGAGGTACATTTACATAGACTCCAGAAGCTAAGCGTTGGTGGTTGAGGTAGCTATTTCATTGAAGAAGATGCTGATGGAACGAAAAGCAGCGAGAATGAACCTCGGATGTCGCTAGCATCCAGCCATCCATTGTGTATCCCTCCTCTACTTGAGCACGTTACAATTGCATCACTGAAATAAATAAAGAATAAAACCTCAATTATAAATAACAACAATAATAATGACAACCGTAAATGAAACCCGATTATAAATAAATAAAAGTGCAGATACCAGTGAAATTTAGTTGATCGAATCAACTGAGCCAACGAAATTGACAAAAATCAACGACATTCTGATCCATTCGCCCTCGGTTTTGGTGGGGTGGAAGTATAATCTCGGTGCAGCCAATGAAATTCACGGACAGACGAACCCAAACAGGTTCCTCTATTTTTCTAACTCTGTCATCATCACCACCCCTATTGGCAGAGTGATTAGCTTTGAGCTCCGACTGATATCGGCCTTGCATTCCCAGATTTCTCGACAAAAACAATAATCAACTAAGGCACTGAAAGGACATGCAAGAGACTAGTGTCACGGGTCGATCGATCTAGCGTTCCCACACCCGTGCGGCCTTAGGAATTTCTCCCCAAGTAAGCCTTCCCACACTCACACTCACAAGAACTTTAGAGAGAGAAATTCTAGAGAGAGAAGCTCTGAACTTTGTATTGCTTCTTGGAAATGAGAGACGATAAAATGAGGGGGAGGAGACCCCATTATATACAAGTATCGGGCTGACCGTATCCGTAGATCTCTCCCCGATCTCAACGGTCGAGATCGTACTCCCCCAACTACCCCACCTACCGCATTTATTACGAAAGGGTACAATTACCGTATCGCCCGCTCCTAGGAGTATTCTAGAAGACATCAAGAAAACCCTAGTACTAGAACACTCGGGGCCCGCCTTCTAGTCCAAGGATCGGTCACGGTCCATCGTCTAGGAAACCTCAGGAATGATCCAATTCTTCGGGCCGTGACACTAGCATGCATGATTTCATGTGGCATGTAATCTAGTTGAGGTTGGTGGAAGCACCTCCATCTGCATGCATGCATGCATATATGCACGAGAAACACACGTGGATGCAACAGTAGGTCCGAATATACACACCAATGAAAAATATCATCATGTAATAATATAAGGAAATCGAAGGTCCACCGCCGCATCAGTCGGTCCGGTAATCGCAAAGAAAAATCAGCCTACTATAGCGAAAATGACGATCCATCACGACAACAGTCCTGAACGTAGTCGCAGAGAGAAAAATAGACAAGGCACGAAAAGGAGAAAAAACCGATATGTGGTGGCCGCTGAGAAATGGCTAAGGGAAAACATATCTAATACCAAGCTCCACGGACCCGCTACTCAAGCGGCGGCGGCTCCATCCGCTACGGCTCCATGAGCTCCGACCGCTGCGACTCCATCAGCTCCGGCTGCTGCCGCTCCGTCAGCTCCGACCGCTGCACCAGTTCTGACAAGTGCTTCTTCAGTGCCGGTGCGCCGGTCGGACCGCTTGAAATGGAAATTCACTGCCGATGCGAAGATGGAGAAAGGTATCGCTGCGTGAAAAAAAGGCCTAATTGTCGTGATACATCGATGCGAAATGGGTTTTTGGGTCGAAGTTTACTCGGTATTCGGAGGTGGAGAGGCATATGCTTTTTGAATAGTTCATCCGACAGGATAATTGATATGGTGTGATCTGCTATGTGAGGCAAAATCAGGTGAAATTGGCCATCTGCGTTGGTTCCGATCGGTTGAGACGTGTAGCTGCCGAGTCGGTGCCGAAACAACCCGCGGCATCGGATTCTGCAAACCGCTCATCTGAATCGTCACTCGACGGT